AATAAAACAAATCACGACGTTTCGATCGCAACACAAGCGGCCTGATCAGGCCTGACGACGACTGTTTGTGTTGCGATTGAAACGTCACGATTTGTTTTATTTTATTTCTAACTACGTGACTTTACCGAAAGAACCAACGTGTATGGGTACTCTACACCCCAATGTCTTTCTTTAAAACTTTTTTGTTTGTTAACCAGCCGTACCAAAAACTATTTATCCGATACAACCGACCGCTTGTGGGAACCGACTCAACGACGTGGCCCAGAGGGGGGGGGGGGGTCAGGTAGCAGGATGGAGTCGCTTCTTGCAGAGATTCGTGGTGGCGGGTTCCACGAACGAGAATTATAACCCAGAAAATTCGCGGTGAGTTTCAACCGTCCCGTGGACGTCATTCGGAAAAAAGAGAGCGGGCCATCTGTGCCGGAGTCATGGTGCAGGTTTAAAAAGAAAATCGGATGACTCGCACATTACTCGATTGGGGTAATAAACCACGCAGCAGCTGCAGCAGCGAAATCAACTCCCCCACTCGCACTACAACCACGCTAAAACCACTATAAACTCTACCCGCCTGTGAAACACAGCGGCTTCCTGACAGCCTTGCACTATAAGAATGGCAAGAACGCCAAATGTACCAATGATGGTGACCGTAATGTGGTGGCGAGTCATCTTAATTTGAATAACAAAAAATATGGTTTTGTGTGGTGGGATAATTTGTCGAAAATAGATATATTTACCAAGATGACATACTTTGTTTTACCGTCAAACAAACACTCGAAATAAATAAATAATTAGAGTAACTGCCTATAGCACAGACTCTAAAACATATTTATTTTTACGTCAATATTTAACCTGAACAAACACACTGAGATGGAACATGTAGTTTGCAAGGGTGTCCATGGTGTTAGCTGACACACACAGCAAACACGAATGACACGTGTACACCAACATTGTACTGAGGCTAAGGTGTTAAGTGTATTACTTTAGAGGTAAAGTCTAGAGATCTATTCGTAATGTGTAACAATTACGCCACCTTTGTGTATCCAGGAGAGCCTCAGTGAGTCCCAAGCCTCTTCCTCGAGAGGGCCCTCAAAGCTCATTCACCACATCTCTAAATTCATGGACAAAAACTGTGTAAATTTGTATTCCTGTTTGGGAATGGGATACTTTTTTTGTAAAAATGTTTAAGGACCTGCGCATGCGCATCTGGAGGCCACAAGCGACTCTTTAAGGACTGCTCTGTGGCGTTATTCACGTTGCATTGGTGGCTCTTGAAATATTGAGCTGATGAGCGAATTCGAGCAAAACAATTCTACTCTATGGGTTTTTCGGTAAAGTCACGTAGTAAATTTTTTAAAATTTCAATAAATGAAAAACCAACTAAATAAAATCCCGACGTTTCGGAGGCAACACAAGCTTCCGTTTTCAGGTCCCAGTAATTTTGCTGTGACGGTTCAACCTGAAGACGGAAGCATGTGTTGCCTCCGAAACGTCGTGATTTAATTTATTTGTTTTTTCATTTGTTTGTCTTTTTTAACTACGTGACTTTACCGAAAGAACCAAAGAGTATGGATCCTTGCAGTCACGAAAACTTAAAATCTCGAATTTTCCGATTTTTGGCTCCCTGCCACGGCTAACATCAATGGCGAGAGATATCGGAAACTGGTCCTGAACGCCATTCGCTAACCCACACCGACCAGTGTGATAAAGTACGGTCAAACCATCTTCACGACGTCGTGTGATGGAGGGGCCTTCAAAGTTCTTGCTGTTGTTTGTCTCCTTCCGCCGCACCTCCGCTTGGCACGGTTGGCTACGTGCAGTGCGAAAGAAGTTCAGCGTACGCACAAAGTCAAGTTGATTTTGTTTGACCAGCTGGCGAGAACGCGAAGGATCGGGATGAGTCTCATTTGCAAGAGTGGCCTGGGTTACCAGCAGCATGACGAAAGCCGACATAATAAAAATAAAGTACAGCAGTTAAGCAAATATAAATCAGCACAAAGCCAACAGCGTCCGTCACGGGAGGAAAATCAAAAATATTGCAAAAAGCGTAACTCGATGTCAGATGATTGTTGAACTCATCATTTGCGCAATGACAAAATTAAGTGACAGAAGCATGACACCTAATTAGGATGATGAATATGTAAGCAGAGAATGATGTTCATGATTAATGTGTTTGGGTTAGACGGCGTGAAATATAAATGTGTCGTGACCCTCCACCACCCGACACGGCGAGTAAGGAGTTTATCACGTCAACAAACGCGCCAATTAGTTACGACTTCAGCACCTCGGTGTGCTGGAGAGTAAATCCACAAACGCGTGGATTTCATATTGGTCGCGAAAGCCGACGCGTTCGAAGAAAATGATGTACGTCAAATGCAAATTGCACTTCATACAACAGGGCACTAAGTGAATACATTCTGTTGACATTTTACTCCAATGAATGAGCGACTTTTTCTTATCGGCGGGTGGCTTTTTGCGGGGTAGCGTCGTGGCGGGGGTGGTGGTGGTGGGGTGTAGCAACCACCTCCTCCAAGACATCAAAGGGGCCGTCCATAAATGACGTCACGCGATTTGGGACGATTTTTACCCCCCCCCCTCGTCACACGGCGTCACAAAAATTCAGACCCCCCCCTCAAATATGACGTCACAAAGCTCTGCCCCCCCCAAAACCATATTTCCATTTTGAAAATGAAACATGCTTCAAATCGCTATAAACTATTGTCATTGAATGTGGTGCTGCACTCTGATGTTGTAGGAGTGTTGTTATAACAATTAGTGTTGTTATAACAATTCTATATTTATTTAAAGTTGCGCATTTTTATGTGACGTCACATTTCTCAAACCCCCCCCCGTCACACATCGTCACAAATGTCTGACCCCCCCCCCCCCCAGGTGCCTGACGTCATTTATGGACGGCCCCTAACCTGAACAACGTGAATTTGAAACGAGCGTGGGTGTCCAGCACCACGCTCGGCCACAAACACCAAAACCAATACCCGCGCCATTCGCCACTAAGTGGTGGTGACGTCACCACGGCACCCGTGCCAGGCTAGGTGCACTTTAAGGCTATCACGTGAAGTGTCCGAAGGCTCGGGACAGACCCAGCAGGTGCCACGAGTTGGCCGACTGAGATGCACACCAGCTGTACCCCCTACTTGTGCCACCTTGCTGAATTTTATCCGCCCCCTGCGTTGCACTCGTTGTTGTGAGCGTCGCTCCTCTGCCCTCCGTCGTTGTTGCTGGAGGGCGACTGCCTCCAACTGCTCAGCAGCAGCAGCATCCTTCACGAGCCTCCTCCACACTCACACGATAAACGCCAAAAGGGTAGCGGGTTCCGTAGTCCGATGATGTTGGTAGTATATGATGGGTTTGTTTAAGCCAAGAAAGCTGAATGAGGCGTGTCAGCGTCTTTGGCCAATTCCGTATTGTAAAATAAAAATGTGAAAGGTGGCAGCCCTGCAATTGCTTAAACTAAAAACTATTTTTAATGTTACCAGGTAAGGTCCCACTCAGCTATATACCGATTATTAAGAAGCGACCGGGCCACAGATGATAGCTCAACCAAGTGGCTTATCGTGTGGCAATGTATAGCAGCAGCCAAATACACTAAACGCGTTATGTTGAATCTACCTACACTGCTTAATATACCAACCTACAAATCTGTCCCTCATTCACATGCCTTCCTAGCTACGCCGCTACCGACCTCCCTACCTACCTATCTCCCTGCCTACATCCCTCACTACCCACCTCCCTACCCTACCCGTCTACCTATCTCCCTGCCTCCCTACACTTTCCGGGCTCTGTTTTCCCAGAGGTCACACGGCAGCCGTTCCACGTTTTCCCCGTGATGTTGACCGAGCGATTTACGCCGATAGCGGGAGGAGGCCCGGCGTGTGAGTGGAGGTGCGCGTGCGTGTGTCTACACACGTGCACACAAGTGCGCGCGTGTGTGTGGGGAGCGGCGGTGCAGCGGTTAGCACGCCGCGCCACAAACCCGGCAGACCCGAGTTCGATTCCCGCTCAAGGCCGACGCCGGCGACGATTATTTGAGCCGGTCCTGGGCCTCCCCCAGGTCGCCTCGGCCTCAAATGAGTACCTGGTGATGGTGTGTAGTAAACATCGCCACTCGGGAAACAAAGGCGGCCGGGCATGGTGCTGGCCACCCCACCCCCTTGTGTGCCACAGTGCCGGCCTTCATCAATGCTCGCTCAGAGGGATGATGGTCCAAGTCAAGGCACCTACCGGGGTCTGAACTCGCGATCCTGCCGGTTGCGGGCGAGCCGCAGTATCTTTTGGACCTTTTTTCCAGCATCAAAATGAAGCCAAAAAAAGAATTAGATTTTCCTTCATCTGGCAATAAAACTGACGCCTATCGCAAGACGTCATCACGATCCCTTGTGAGCGGTGTTTCAAAACGATGGACCCGATTTGAAATTACTATATCTCTGCAAACACGAACCGCCCATGAATGAAACTCTTACCAGTTGAAAGGGCGGGGAATATAATTTCAAATGATTACTGCTAGATGCCTCTCCCAGTGCACAAACAGCCCCTATCCTCAGTCATTCGCAAGACACACGCCGCCTCAATGTTGGATAGGTCGCACGGGACCCCAAGACTTGGCGCGACACTCTTGGCCCCCAAGATCCCCAGACATCACACCCTGTGACTTTTTCTTGTGGGGATAGGTCAAAGACCGTGGTGTTTTTGTGCCACCATTAGCAACTAATCTGGATGACCTCAAAAACAGAATCATGGCAGTGTTGACTTCAGTAGAAGAGGACACTTTGAGAGGCGTTTGGGACGAATTCAACTATCGTCTCGATGTTGTCCGTACAGCAGGTGGAGGGCACATATAGCATTTATAAAATGGCTAGTAAAACTTGATAACTCATTAAACCGTTTGTAACTTTTTGTGTAATTGTAATATGTTGCCATCGTGAAATATACTGTTTTAAAACACCCTGGTATAACCGTGGCCGCGTGCGCGTTCACGTTCGCAGGACGTCGACGCCTCTCTCATGCTCGGCGCAGCCGGCAGCGGGAGGGCCGCACGGCGGCACGAGTCGGCGCCCCCCTCACGACGGAGGGCGGCAGCAGCAGCAGCGGGGGTGGCGGCGGCAGCGTCAAGACGGCGGATCCCGCGGGTCGTGCGCGCCGCGGGACGGCATCGTGTTCCTGAAGACGCACAAGACGGCGAGCAGCACCGTACTCAACATCCTCTTCCGCCTGGGCGAGAAGCGCCGCCTGCGCTTCGCCTTCCCCAACGGCAAGAACGACTTCGACTATCCCTCGCCGTTCTCTCGCTACCGCGTGGCGGGCTACTCGCCGGGCCGCTGCTACGACGTCGTCTGCAGCCACATGCGCTTCAGCCGCGCCGAGCTGGCGCCCCTGCTGCCGCCCGACGCCGCCTTCTTCACCATCATGCGCGACCCGGCGCGCGTCTTCGAGTCGTCGTTCCACTACTACCGCGCCGTCGTGCCCAGCTCGTGGAGGGTCCGGGGCGACGACCCCTTGCGGGAGTTCCTGCGCGATCCCCGCGGCTACTACGACCCAGCGAGCGTCAACTCGCACTACCTCAAGAACCTGCAGGCCTTCGACATGGGCTTCGATAACAACGCGGTGCTGTCGCGGGACGACGGCGGTGACGGCGGCGGCGGCGGTGGCGGCGCGTTTGGCGATCGGCAGGAGGAGGAGGAGGACATTGCTCGGCGCATGATCCGGGAGGCGGAGGACACCTTCTCGCTCGTCATGATCTCGGAGCACTTTGACGAGTCGCTCGTTCTGCTCAAGGAGCTGCTGTGCCTAGACGAAGAGGATATCACCTACTTCAGGCTCAACGCGCGCTCCACGTCCACGGCGAGCCGAGGAGAAGGAGGAGGAGGTGGTGGCGCTGCTGGTGGTGGTGGAGGCGGTGCCGGCGGAGGTGCTTCTCGAGGAACCGGGGGGAGCGGTGCCGGACACACTCCTGGCGCTAGAGGAACTCGCGCCGGCGAAGGCGACGGGGGACGTGGGACCGAAGCGGATACCGGAGGCGACGATGGGAGAAGCGACGGCCTTGGCCGTAGCCCCGGAGGAAATGACGGCGCTGACGAAGCCGCTGGAGCCTCGACGGCGACGGCGGACACGCCGCGCATGGACCCGGACACGTACCGCCGCGCTCGCCGCTGGAACCGCCTCGACTCGCTCCTCTACGAGCACTTCAACCGCAGCCTGTGGCGCGAGGTGGCGCGCTTCGGCGAGGGGCGAATGCGCGCCGCCGTGGCGTCGCTGCGCCGACGCAACGCCGCGCTTGCGCTCGAGTGCACCGAGGAAGGGGGTGCCGTCGACGCGTCGGCGGTGCGCGACCCGGCCCTCAGGCCGTGGAGGCCGATCGGCTCGCAGCCCATCATGGGCTACAACCTGAGGCGCGGCATCCCGCGGGGCGCGACGCGGCGGGCGTGCCGTCGCATGCTCACGCCCGAGCTGCAGTACATGAGCGAGCTGGGGGCCAACCTGTGGATCACCAAGCTGTGGGTGCGGCTCACGCAGCTGCTGCAGTGGTGACGGGGACGCGCACGCGGCCGGTGCTGCGGCGGTCAGCGCTACGCCGCGCTACGAACCTGGCCACCCGGGTTCGATTCCCGCTCACGGCCAACACCCAGTGACGATTATCTGAATCGAGGTCGAATCAGCCTCAAAAGAGCACCTGGTGCGGTGTGTAAAAACATCGCCACTGGGGAGACAAAGGCGGTCGGGCGTGGTGTTTGCCACCCATTCCCTCGTGTGCCTTCCTGGCCTTCATCGGTGTTCGCTAACAGCACTTGCCCCAACAGTCTGTTAAGGCTACACGGGGGCATTTTTGCCTTTGTTTGTGTGTGTGTGTGTGCGTGCGCGTGAGCGTGGCAATTTCCCGCACCTCTTCGATCTGCACGGTTGGTTACGTGCCGTGTGAAAGAAGTTCAACGTACATACGAGGAGAAGCGGAGTCGGTTCGTAAAGGTCTGACCGCCCCGAGGCAAAGGAAGATCAAGAAACTTGACAAGGGGGCGGGCCCCGAAATTTCAGGGCCCACGTCAGAGAGTGGTCCCTGTAAGCAGACATGACAGAACTAGAGTAGACTCTAGATTTATCCGCGCGCGGTTTATGCGATTTGCGGATTAACTGAGCACCTGAGAGTTTAACATAAATTAATAACTCGTGGATTTTCCCTTAAGCCCAAATTCATAATCTTAAAGTTATACATTGTTATTCTTGGAAATGTGTATTCAAAGTCACGTCCTTAAATCGAACAAATTTTTGGTCCGGTTAATCCGAAATCCACGTGATCGCCTGTACAGTACAGAAGTTGCATATATTTACAACAGTGGGCAGAGTTTGATTGATTTTGATTGGCGTGGCTCTGCTATCATCCACTTAGTGAGCAAAGTCTTCTGCATAGGCAAATGTGGTTTTTGGCGTAGAGATCCCAATGAAAATTATAAAAAAAAATCCGCGGCCGTCCTCCCCGTCTTCAACGCGGATAATCGAGAGTCTATTGTACTTATAAGATCACTTCATGGCGAGGTTCGGTCAAATAACTCCCAATGGCTAACGCAGCCCTCATCCAGTGTTGGATTGAGCAATGTTTAATATTTTTTACAATTTGTGGTCAAATGTGGATAGTTCTATTAGCACGGTTGGCTACGTATGGTGCGAAAGAGCTGCGACATACATACATACATACGTCTGGCCAGCATGGCAGAGTAGGCCAGACAATCAGGGGCTTTGTAGATACCAATGATGTATGGTCATATGAAGCAAGTTATATTGTCGATGACTATGTAGAAATGAGGCACCTAACAATGCATTGACTCACCGATTAGTACGGTTGGCTACAAACGGTGGGAAATAAGTTCAACATACATAGTCTAAGATTGATTATTACACTCATGATATGTGCATCGCATTGTGCATGTAGGACCCACTTACTTGCAATGAATACAACTTACAATCAAACGCTATGCTCGTGATACATTTAGGCTAATGCAGTGGACAAAAATGAGTATTACAGAGACTCCTCTATTTACGAACATTCCACTTACGAACTTTCAGAGATACGAACAAACCTGTCGGTATGCCCAGTTTCTTGTTCGGACCGAGAGTCGTTAAGTTCAACCGCCGCGCAATAGATGGCGGTGGTGGCATCGACATCTGCAGAACGTGAAGAACCAGTGGCATCTACAGGAGATTATTCAACTTTTAAAGCCATTCCCCGTGTTTAGTGTACGTGCCGTACAACATGTTTGGACTTGACGGGAGTAAAGTTGGACTTATGAACAAATCGACTTACGACGAACAGACCTCTGGAACCTAACTCGTTGGTAAGTAGAGGAGTCCCTGTATTATTTATGGGTTTTTTCGGTCAAGTCACGTAGGTAAAAAAATAAAATTAAAATTCATAAAAGTAAAATAAAAATAAAATAAAAATCACGACGTTTCGGAGGCAACACAAGCTTCCGTCTTCAGGTGGAACCGTCACAGCACGACTGCTGCATCAAGTAAGAGAAATTCCAAGAAAACAGTCCTTGTATATAGATTGGTTGAGGGTGGGAGGAGCCATTGTGAGGTTCGGTGCGGCTGAAGCACGCTGCAAGGAATGAGCCTTTGTTGTGTAGACTGGTTGAAATGGGAGGTTCCAAGAGTTGTTTAGGTGCGGCTGATGTAAAGGTGCGGTTGCTGTAAATTCAAATCTAGAGATGTTAACTACCTCGCCTGGTATACAGGAGGTCGTGGGTTCGAACCCGAACCTGATGCATGCTGTATATTTGGAGTTTGCATGTCTCTGTCTCTTCCTGTGGTCACGTGGATTTTTCTCCGGGTCCTCCGGTTGTTCCCTCCCACATTTAGAATCAACGTCACGCATTTAAGACTATTTGGCTGCGATTAATTTCCACGCGATGAAAACGCCACTTTGTTGAGCTTGATAACATTTGTGAAGGCCAGGTCGCTTCTAAAAAATTAACCCGTAAAAACAAAGTTTTTCACTTTAAATCCTTTATATGCGTGGCGGCTAGAGTCCTATCGTCCTCTGGCTTGAGATGACTGCCACCTATGGGTCAGATGATTGTCTGCCAGCATTAAGCAATTGGTAATTAAATATAGAATTTTTTTTCCCTAAACAGTGTAAAATTTTGGAAAAAAAATTTCACGAAAATTAATTGTTACGCACAACGAGTCTGTGTGGAAAATGTCAGCTCGATTGGATCACGGGAAGTGGGTTAAAAAACGACCGAAAGATTTGCACGGCCGTAAGCACGCAAGCAAGCACGCAAGCAAGCAAGCAAGCGAACTTAATATAAAGGATTTAAAAAACAGCTACATCGCTGTGGGGCCTTACCCGGTAAAATAAAAAATAGCTTATTGTAGTTTAATAGTTTTTGTAAGTTTAGATGACGATGGCTCATGTCACGTGAGCCTGGCACCAAGGCTCTTCTCCGCTATCTGCACTCCTTTATGTACGCTGTCTCTACGATGGACGGTCCTGGCTTTCTGCCCCCAGTTCGCCGTGGGGAGGGCTAAAAGTTGAATGTACATCTTGTTTAACACGTAGGCTTTCGCGACCAATATCCGTAATGAAGGTTTTTTTTTGGGTTAGATCACGTAGATATTAATTTAGGACCGAAACAGGAAAACTTCTTCACAGTTCTGGCAAAACCGTCTGATAAAGCTGGTTGTAATCACCAGCGAAACGCCGGAGTCAAAGTGTAAATGTTGTGGGTTTACTCTCCAACACACCGGTGCGCTGAAGTAGTAACTAATTGACACGTTTTGTTTTACGTATTTTTTTTACTTAATTGGCTTTGTCGGGTGGTGGAGGGTTAATGACACATTTATATTTCCGCGGTCTAACCAAAACAACCTTTACCATGCGCAGCCTGTCCTTGCGACAAATATTTACTCGAGCAAGGCAGGCGGGAAAAGTGCTGCCCCCTAGTGTGCGAATCAGAACTGTCTTAAGAAGGGATTTCAGACGTAGTTCTGTGATGCCAATTCCACGGACCGCTCTCTAGCAACACGAAGAGTCGGCACCGCTCTGCAGGAGTTCTACATGGATTTTTGGTCTCGTGAAACTACGACCGACAGCAAAATCGGGATACAATAATGGAAGGAACAAAACCATTCCAGTTTCTTTATTTTGCACGTCAGTGGCTCAGAGAAGAGGTATCGTTGAGAGAGTTGGACACGTAGGCTTTCGTGAGCAATTTTATCCATAAGGAAAGTTTTTTGGGGGGCTATATCGCACAAATATGAATGTGTCGTTAAACCCGACACCAAATGTGTACTCTCCAACACACCGGTGTGCTGTACTCGTAACTAATTGGCATGTTTTGTTTACGTGACAAACCTTCCTACTTTGCTGTGTCGGGTGGTGGCGGGATTAACAACACATTTATATTTACGCGATCTAACCCAAACAAAAACGTCATGAAGGATTGTTGAGACAGTACACCAAGTAGATTGCTCACGCGTATTTGTGCATCTTTCATCTTCACACGTATGGTTTGCATTTCTCTCCTGTTTCATCCCCAGTTGAAAGTGACTCGAGTAGAAATCAACATTCCCGGCAAATGCATCGTGAAAAACAGTCTGAGGTCAAAGAAAGCTACAAGCGTGAAGCGAGCCCTTCGTGTCATGCAGTCCACGGCCACGTGACGTCTACCACTTCGAAATAGTAACCCCGACACAACATTTATCAATCACCGTGAGCATAACAGCCACGCTGATCTGGTACTAGAGAGGGAATATTTTGAAGCTGGCAAGAACAAGCACTGTCTTCTTGGTTCTTTCGGTAAAGTGACGTAGAATGGAAATAATAAAATAATAAAAATAAAACATTTTATGATATTATTTTATTATGTTTTATTTTTATTATTTTATTATTTCCATTCTACGTGACTTTACCGAAAGAACCAAGAAGATGAATCCCTGCAGTCACGAAAGCTTTAAATCGAAATTTAACAAGCACTGTGTTTCTAATATGAGCGCGCTCAGTCTGTTCTATCATAGCAGAAGTAATAAAGGCGTGTGTGTCCATGCGCATGTTGTGTAACGTATCGGCGTGGAGGGGTGCGCAGTGGAATTGCACTAAAAACTTGACGGACCCGAGTTCGATTCACCGCTCACGGCCAACATCGACGACGAACATCTGAACCGGTCGTGGAGCTGCCCTCTGGTTCAACTCAGCCTCAAATGAGTACCTGGCACGGCGTGTAAACATCAGCACTGGGTGAGACAAAGGCGGCTGGGAGCAGTGTTATTGGCCACTCGCCCCTCCTCGCGACACGTGGTGGCCTTCGTAGACACTCGCTAACAGCATCTTGCCCCAACAGTCCGTGAAAGGCTATATGGGGGATCCTTGTGTAACGTATTATACCGAAGCAATGCAAAGTTATTGGTTAACAATAGGATGCATTACTCTTGGGGCAAATAAATGAAACTGAAAAAATTTAATTAAACAAGTTTGTGTTTTGCATTTGTGTGTCAATATTTATAAATATGCTGCACTTCAGAGTGTTACAAAAGGCACTATAATAACGGAAACATTAATTTTAATTACGAAAAACACTCACTAAATTTACAACAACAACAAAAACAAAAACAGTCGTTTCGTCCCAAAATTCAAACTAGCCGTACTAATTGGACATCAGGGAGAGTGGTCCTTGCAAACGTATAATCATAATAATAATATCCGCTGTTTGCGTCCAACGAAGTGGTTTCCGCGTTTTATCAACTCGGGTGAGTAAGATTTACTTTTCGGTTATGGATGTAGTGCTCTATATAATAATGGCGATTTACGAATAAAAATGTATATTTCTGTCATGTCTGCGTGTGTGTGTATGGATGTGTTCAAAGTCTAAAGAAGGAGGAGCAGTCGTACACCGGTTACCGCAATGCACTTACGAACCCACCCAGCGACCAGGGTTCAATTTCAGTCCACGGAAATATTCAGTGGAGAATTGTATCTGCACCGATCTTGCATCCCCCCCCCATCCCACTACTAGGGTACAAACTTCCCCTCCATATTAAGCAAGCAACCCTCCCTATCCAGTTTCTACTCCTCCCTCGAGACCCCCACCTATTCTCCCTGGCTCATCCACTAACCGCCCTCTCCATACCCTATCCCTATTCACCACATCACTTTTAGTTACCCTAATTGTAGCACCCATAATCCTTGTAAAGCGCTTTAAATAAAAGTGCTTCATAAGATAAGTACAGAGTGTAGTGTCGCCTGTTCGGACCGAGAGTCGTTAAGTTCAACCGCCGCACAATAGATGGCGGTGGTGGCATCTACATCTACATAATGTGAAGAACCAGTGGCATCTACTTCTACATAATGTGAAGAACCAGTGGCATCTACATCTGAAGAACGTGAAGAGCCAGTGGCATCTACATCTGCAGAACGTGAAGAACCAGTGGCATCTACATCTGCAGAACGTGAAGAACCAGTGGCATCTACATCTGCAGAACGTGAAGAACCAGTGGCATCTACATCTACATAATGTGAAGAACCAGTGGCATCTACATCTGCAGAACGTGAAGAGCCAGTGGCATCTACATCTGCAGAACGTGAAGAACCAGTGGCATCTACATCTGCAGAACGTGAAGAACCAGTGGCATCTACATCTGCAGAACGTGAAGAACCAGTGGCATCTACATCTGCAGAAGGTGAAGAGCCAGTGGCATCTACATCTGCAGAACGTGAAGAACCAGTGGCATCTACATCTGCAGAACGTGAAGAACCAGTGGCATCTACATCTGCAGAACGTGAAGAACCAGTGGCATCTACATCTACATAATGTGAAGAACCAGTGGCATCTACATCTGCAGAACGTGAAGAGCCAGTGGCATCTACATCTGCAGAACGTGAAGAACCAGTGGCATCTACATCTGCAGAACGTGAAGAACCAGTGGCATCTACATCTGCAGAACGTGAAGAACCAGTGGTATCTACATCTGCAGAACGTGAAGAACCAGTGGTATCTACATCTGCAGAACGTAAAGAACCAGTGGCATCTACATCTGCAGAACGTGAAGAACCAGTGGCATCTACATCTGCAGAACGTGAAGAACCAGTGGCATCTACATCTGCAGAACGTGAAGAACCAGTGGTATCTACATCTGCAGAACGTAAAGAACCAGTGGCATCTACATCTGCAGAACGTGAAGAAGCAGTGGCATCTACATCTGCAGAACGTGAAGAACCAGTGGCATCTACATCTGCAGAACGTGAAGAACCGGCGGCATCTACATCTGCAGAACGTGAAGAACCAGTGGCATCTACATCTGCAGAACGTGAAGAACCAGAGGCATCTACATCTACAGGAACTTTTAAATCCATTCCCCGTGTTCAGTGTAGACGCCGAACAACGTGTTTGGAATCGACAGGAGTAAAGTTGGGACTTACGCAAACCTATCAACCCATATACGGTTTACCCGTATTCTTGTACAGGGAAATTGAGTGAAAAAAAGTGTTTTGTTTATTTGTTTGTGTTTCTCCCTTGCGATGGGACTCTGTAGGATGAACGTTGAGATTTATAAGGGCACCACGGGGTGACCAATAAGGTCTCAATTGGTCTGCAATAAGGTAGGGCACTGATAAGGTGGTTGACAGGTAAGCTTTAGTTTAACACGTAGGTTTTCGCTACCAATATCATCCAAAATATAGGTTTTTTTGGGTTAGATCAAGTAAATATAAATGTGTTGTTAAACCCGCCACCACCCGACACAGCCAACTAGTAAGGGTTGTCACGTAAACAGAACGTGCAAAATCGTTTCTCGTACAGCGCACCGGTGTGTTGGAGAACAAAGCCGCAACATTTACAATCTGTAAAGTGACTTTACCGAAAGAACCAAGAAGATGAATTCCTGCAGTCACGAAAGCTTTAAATCGAAATTTACAATCTGAGTACGACGTTTCGCCAGGTGGCGGGTTTAACGACGCATTTATATTTATGCGATCTAACCCGAACAACAACAACAACAACAAAACCACCTACACCACGGAGTTGTGCTTTACACGAACACTTTAATCGACTTACGAATAACAACCCCACGACTCATGCAGCCAGCTATGGCTGCAGGGTTTTGGAAGTACATGTTGTTTATGTCATTTATTGTGAAAATTCCGTTAGTTCCTATGATCACTGTTTCATTGCATTCATGGCTTTATTTTGGTGATTTCGAAAAGTTTATTGGTTTAGCCATGTTTTTTTGTTGTAGTACGGAGTAAGACTGATGGCCTTAATCTAAGTTGTCTTGTTGTTGTTGTTTGACTTGCATCCCACTGGGATTTTTGCACACAGCGTTGGTGTACGGTGTTTTTTCTGCAATATTTTGCTGTCTTTTCTTAGATTTTCTGTTTGCACTTAGTCACATATTCACTTTAAGATATTTTCTTGTTCATGTTTTTGTTTTTTGTGTTGCGGTTGCACCCGATTCAAGAGCCGAATGGCTCACAGGGCTATACCTAATAAATTAACTTCAACCACCACCACCGCTTTGGAACCCAACCCGTTCGTAAATCGAGGAGTGCCCTCCCCCCCACCCCCGGCATTCAGATTCAGATCCCGACGCCGGCAGCCTGAAGGTTTTTTCCCCTCTGACCTGGCACCACCCCCCCACGCCGCCATGCCCGCCGTAGCCATGCCGGTCGGGCCGCTGCTGCTCGCCTCTCCCGCTCACGGAGATACAAAGGTGGGTTCTGGCGGCGATTAGTTAACAACATCAACAACAGCAGTAAACGAAACGAGTTAATCGTCGTCCGAGCCGTTCTCTCTCTCGCGGCTCTGCGTTGAATGTCAAGGTTTGCCGTCTTGAGGCCTAGTCGCAGGCTTCTTGGTCGACTCGGGCCTAGCACCGGCGATGGTCAAATGAGGATTTGCAATTCGCGAATTTGCGTCGTAATTACGTTGTTTCGTGCGGTCAGTGGGATTGCTAAAGTCACTACAATGGGAATGTGATGTTGGAGTTTAGCCACGTCGTTTGAAGTGTCTATATTTAGCGGGGGTATACAGGTTACTAGGCCTCCGTTGAGTAACATTCAAAGGCTGTGTTGTTCAGCTAAAATGTAAGCCGACTTTTAATTAAATGATGAAGTATCACGTCTAGCAATACATCGCCTGTGTTATATATGCACTAACGTACTCTCCGGTCGATACAGTGAGTACCATATTGTGGTTGTTAGCATTGCCCTTTGCGTGGTTTCACTCGTCTCCGTCATAGGAATGTGGAATTACCGCCCCTGGCAATTGGTGGTTGAAGAGATGCGAAGCATCCCACGGGGAAGCGCCGTTGTTTTACAGCCCGTGTGTTAATCTACTGCTGGTTGAACCCCTTCTACACACTGTCAATCATGGGGGGGGGGGGGGGGGGGGGTAGTTGTTTGACCATACTTGTACTTCATGCCTCTGTATTCTGATCAGTGCGGCTGTGGTAGAGTGAGGGGGGAGATCCGATACCTTGTTCATACATCAACTCTCTACTCATGTTGGCCGCGGTCGGAAATCAAAATCAGATCGCCGGGTTAACTGCGTATCACACTTGCCACTGATCCATCTTGTTTGTGTATGGGTGTTTGTATGTAATATAGGTGTGTGTGTGTGTGTTGTGCAACTGCCAGTCATCTCAGTCAGCAAACGAATGGCACTTGGGTCTGTCCCGCGACCTCCTGTCAGCGGGCATTCGACGACTTCATGCAGCCTCAAAGTGAACCTAGCCTGGCACAGGCACCGTGGTGACGTGACCGCCAACTTAGGGGCAAATGGCTGGTGTTGTTGTGTGTATGTTATATTTGTGTGTGTGGTGTGTATGTGTGGTGTGTATGTAGGCCGCAGATGAAGCAAAAGATGAAGCCGCCAAGCCCGCGGTGGGTATCATTTACCCGCCGCCGGAGGTGCGGAACATCGTGGACAAGACCGCGAGCTTCGTGGCCAGGTGCTTAACCTTCACGCGGCGGCGTGGTGGCACGAATTTCGGGGAGGGACCATGGGTAACACGTATAGGCTGTGCTGAAATTGTATATCTTTAAATCACTGCTGGATGAAGGAAATCTCAGCATAGATAGATTGAATCAGTAGAATCAGAATATGTATTTGTGCTGGAGGAATCCGATGAGCTATAAAGATCTTTTTCACAGATTTCCAGTAGGAGCAGGTAATGTACTAGGATCTCTTAGCAACCTACAACATCTGTTAATACCATGCAATCAATCTTGATTTGAAGCTTTCGTGACTGCAGGAATCCATACTCTTTGGTTCTTTCGGTAAAGTCACGTAGGTAGAAAATAAATCACGACGTTTCGGGCGCAACACAAGCGTCCGTCATCAGGTGGGATGCAATCGCCCATCCAAATACGAACCCGGCTCGATGCTGCTTAGCTTTCGCAAGTGAGAAAGCTGACACTTGATTATAATGTATTTTTGACAATCTCCCAGGAACGGCCCGGAGTTCGAAGCTCGCATCCGTCAGAACGAGATCAACAACCCCAAGTTCAACTTCCTCACGAGCACAGACCCGTACCATGCCTACTACCGCCACAAGGTCACCGAGTTCCGTGAAGGACGTGGGCAGGAGCCGTCAGCCGCTGTTCCCAAGATCATGCAACAGCAGTTGCTCATCTCACAGAAGGTGTGCTCGCGCTTCCAAGGCCAGTGGGAACTCTGCTGGGCCTCGGTGCTTGCATCGAACAAGGACGGTCACTGCATCGCGCGCTTTCAGATGCGCTTCTGCGGCCGTCTGGAACGCTCTTTCTTACGATATTAGGAAGTTACTGGAGCTGTGCACTTTCCAATCTGAATTGAAAACGAATTTCTTTCGAACTGCTTTTAGTTTGTTGTCCTTCCCCCGCACCTCTGATGAGCACGGTTGGCTAAGTACGGTGTGAAAGAAGTTGAACATACATACAGGCCGGACTAGACCTTCCTCGTCTCCACTGCAAACGTATCAGGCGGCACATGCTTTCCTCTCCCAGTTAAGATTTCAGTTACACTCTTGGCATCGTGTCATGAGATGTATAACGCCAGTTTAGCCGCTTCTCCACTGCTCGACCCCATTTGTATCAAGTGTGGCTGAAACCCGTAATTGATCCCATCTTCTCAGTTGTGCAAATTGTATTTCCGCTATTCTGTCGGCATCTTGTCATGAGACACGATGCGGTTACATTGCTTGACCACAGTTATAATCAAGGGTTGCTAGAATTTCAAATCGAAGCCGGCAATGCCGACTCAGCGTGTCTGACATTTAGCTTCTTAAGCCACCACCGGCCACCGTTAAGCCACGTTGCCGTGCCACATGCAAACAGATCCCTCTCGAACCTCAATATTCCGGCACACGAGACACACTCACGGTTGTGATGTCTCTTCGGTGTGAGGGCAGGTGCAGGCCCAGGTGATGCAGGAGACCATCGTGCCGAAGGAGGCACCGCCGGACTTCGAGTTCATGGCGGACGCGCCGTCCATCTCGTACTTCGACCTGGACGTGGTGAAGCTGACGGCGCAGTTTGTGGCACGCAATGGGCGCAGCTTCCTCACGCAGCTCATGGCCAAGGAGCAGCGTAACTACACCTTCGACTTCCTGCGGCCACAGCACAGCCTCTTCCACTACTTCACCAAGCTGGTGGAGCAGTATACCAAGGTTGGCTGATCAGGCAGAGAGGAGAGCAGTAGACGAAAGTGGACCTGTCAGGCAGAGTGAGGAGCAATCAACTAATGTGGTGTCCATGGAGAGAGGGCAGCAGTAAGCTCAGGTGCATTATGGGGTGAAGAGAGGGCAGCAGTAAGCTCAGGTGCATTATGGGGTGGAGAGAGGGCAGAGAGTAAGCTCAGGTGCATTATGGGGTGGAGAGAGGGCAGCAGTAAGCTCAGGTGCATTATGGGGTGGAGAGAGGGCAGCAGTAAGCTCAGGTGCATTATGGGGTGGAGAGAGGGCAGCAGTAAGCTCAGGTGCATTATGGGGTGGAGAGAGGGCAGCAGTAAGCTCAGGTGCATTATGGGGTGGAGAGAGGGCAGCAGTAAGCTCAGGTGCATTATGGGGTGGAGAGAGGGCAGCAGTAAGCTCAGGTGCATTATGGGGTGGAGAGGAGAGGGCAGCAGTAAGCTCAGGTGCATTATGGGGTGGAGAGGAGAGGGCAGCAGTAAGCTCAGGTGCATTATGGGGTGGAGAGGAGAGGGCAGCAGTATGCTATGGTGGACTCGCCAAAATGGGGAGCGCTACACGAGGTATGTTGGGCAGCGAGGGTACATCTATTAGAAATCGTAAGGGTATTTTTTTTTATAGTGTGTTCAATATTTGTTTGACTTTGTAATTGTAAAAACAAGAAAGGATGCATAAATAACAAACTAGTCTGTTGAAACACAGGACTGAATAAAGATTGTATATTACTGTCGTGATGCTATCTTTAACCCTCATGTGATGCTTTATGCTTTTATTTTTAATTAGATCCTGATTCCTCCAAAAGGCCTGTTGCAAAAACTTAAGAAGCAAGCTGAAAACCCCAAGGATATTTTGGATCAGGTAACTTGGATAATACGTGGTAATCTGACTTGGAGATACTGAACACCATTGGTCATTTAGGGATCGTTAAACATCAACAGCACACAAAGCATGCCCTGCGTGGAGTGGTTTTCGGCATAACTTACACTTTTCAAAAACACAATGTGTGTCACGATGTTTCTGTAAAGCATCAACATTTCAATCCACTGTTTTTGGAGGGGGATGGACAAAAGTGCACTCTTCATACGCTTTTGAAAACGTTCACAATGTGGAACGATCCCTTAAAAGGCGAGACGATATGAAGGCATATAAATGAAGTAACTTTTAAATGCAAACATATAACCAGTTTACAGCGATAACTATTCTAACTTACACGTGGGAAGCATGTTTGAGATTCAACAGCTCCCCCAAATCTTGCACACAATCCTCCCCAACACCACGTGCTTATCTTTTTTTGTATTTTAAACAGGGCTCCCATTAGGTTCTGGACTATTGTACATGATAGAGGGGCTGAGTGTTATAGCCAATAAGCTTATTTAGCCGAGTTATTGGGTCATGGGTCATATATTTTCTGAAGCTTTAATATGACACCTCATTCACCGATAATGGTGGCGTGGCATAGGAAGGGTTCTGGAAACAAACTTTCAGACATACATTTTAACCCGATTATTATCTAGATACTCGAAAGCTCTGTAAAGATGTAAATCAGAATGTCTGAGAACATCCTGCATGTCCCGTGAAGAGCGAGATCTGAGGGCTGCCTGTGTATTTACAAACGCCCTCGACGTTTTTTGTCGTTTCAGGTGAAGTACCGCGTGGAGTGGGCAAAGTTCCAGGAGCGCGAGCGGAGGAAGGAGGAAGAGGAGCGCGAGCGGGAGAGGGTTGCGTACGCCCAGGTGGACTGGCACGACTTCGTGGTGGTGGAGACCGTCGACTTCCAGCCCAACGAGCAAGGCAGGCAGCCTCACCTCTCGCGCTCTCTCTCTCGTTCGCTCGCTCAACGATTTCCAGGGAGGCAACGAAGCGAGTGCGTTTTTAGTTGGCAGCTACATGGGTCATGCTGTGGATCTGGACTTTTAGAGAGCAATTTTTGTTAAATTTCGTAAATAAGAAGGGGATAAAAACAACAACACTTAAAAAGTGTATTTCAGGAGTGCCACCACAGTGTGCTGCATTCTGCTATATTGTGTAAACACGTAAGTGACGAGGGCCAGGTCAGTAGATGACTGGTTAGTGGTACATTTCTGATTAAGTTCAGGTTAGAGTGTCGCATCACTGTCAATAAGTTGGGGTGTCCACACGTCGACACCAGTGTTCAGGTCTTTGTACGTAGAACGACCATGATGTACGTCCGAGTCGTGTCGGGTATATATATGTGTGTGTGTCCCACATACCTTGAGCTTGTTCGATAACCTCACCTGGGTCTGCCCACTCTCACCCCACTGCTCACTGATGAAGAGCGGTGCTGGTGTCTGCTGAGTGGGTGGTCGCAGTCCGCTCATTTTAACATCGAATGTCGCGTTTGGCGACATCGACGTTGTTAAAGAAAAAATTAATCTACCGATGGAGCCCAGCTCTAATGAATAAGCGGCTGAGAAACGTTAAAAGACGACGTCCACCACACGTCATCGGGTTTTTCCCTCCCCCTCCCCTCCCCCCCCCGGTGTCCGCGCAGGAAACCTCCCTCCGCCAACGACGCCCGAAGAACTGGGGGCGCGCATCCTGGCGCAGGAGCGCTACGAGAAGTACGGGGAGAGCGAGGAGGTGGAGATGGAGGTGGAGTCGGACCACGAGGGCGACTCGGACGACGGCAATCGCCAAGACGACGACGACCAGGGCAGCGAGAGCGAGCCCGAGCGCGACGATCGGCAGCGCAGGGACGATAGGCAGCGCGGTGGTGCCTCCTCCGCTCAGCCCACGGACCAGGACACCCAAGTGCAGGACATGGACGAGGTGACGTGGCTCAGTGACGTGTTCATTCACATTTGAGTCTGCCAAACATCCCGATATAGGACCACACAGCTTGGGCAATTGTTGGTGCCGGTTCTGGGCACCCTTCCCGCTTGTCTGCGGTTTATCCGCACCTCCGTGCAACAACGGTGCGTGTCACAAATTCAATGGCATTTTGAGATGCCGTTTACGTAATGATGCCGTTATAAAACAATGTTGTAGTCTTTATGTGATTGAAATGGCTTTCACGAACTGTTAGGAGCTATTCAAATTTAAAATGTATTACGATGGTTTAAATGTGTTTAGTTTGTTGCCCTTCCCCTGCACCTCCGATGAGCATGGTTGGCTACGAAAGAAGTTCAACGTCCATTCGTACAACACTGGAGAGCAAATTCAAATGTAGTTTCTAGGGGCCATTCTTTGACACAGGGTTTGCTACAAGAGCTTGTAAATTGAAATGTTTTCATCTCATGGCATGACTCTTAGATCGTCACTCTGATCGGAGTGAAAGATAACGAAGAAAAATGAAAGCCGGAAAGGTGGCCTGGAATGCTTATGGAGGGATTCATAGCGGCCGAGTCGGCCGCAACTTGATAGTGACGCAGCGATTCACCCCTGTCACGATCCAACAAATTGTTACGATGTGACGTCCAGGGTTAACAACACAAGTCCATAATCGTGTAAAAGAGTCCTGTATATGAATTGAAAGTAATTGAATATTTGGTTTGTATGATTCACGTGCGGCAAACCCTCTCTTTAACAGAGCGTGAAAGGATCACCGTGTAATCTCGCTGAGAGGCTCTGATGATAGGCTCCAGAAGTAGTCGCTGCCGTACCTTCTCTGAGAGCCTTGACAAGATGTGACAATCTGCTGACAGTATTAGCCGAGAGAATCTCAAGGGTGCATCAACATTGATGGGCTTTGTGCGCGTGTGGGTGTGTGCGCACATTTAGGGATCGGACGACGAGGATGATATGCCCGCTCCGCCGCTGCCCGAGTTGCCAATGCCGCCGCCTCTTCCTCCCGCCCTTGACCAAGTGATCATCCGCAAGGATTACGACCCCAAAGGTGTGCGTCCTTCGTCCTCGGCTACACCACTTTGTTGTTCTCCATTGTGGTGTGAGCAAAGGGCGTCTGTTGGTAGTTCACTCATTTAAATCAGCGCTTTTAGTATCTCTTAACTCCCTACCCCCAGCCAAACCATTCTGTTGACTCCCTGTCCCTGTTTAAGTCCAGGCTCAAGACTTTTTTAAAAATTTCTCTTCTGTTTATGACTATACCTCTATAAAACAACAACGCTCACCGTTTCTGTTTAGCATCTTGACGTGCGATCACACACATACACACGGAGGTTGTATAAAATCCACGTCTTCTTACTTTTTGTTTTAACAAAGCTATCGCCGATATAAACTTTCACGACTCTGAACCGGACCGACCAACCTTGTTTGTTTCTTCGACGAGCAGCGGTGCGGCCCACGGCACCGGCGCCCACGCAGGACGAGTTCCTCGTCTCTCCCATCACGGGCGAGCGCATCCCCGCCAGCAAGATGCAGGAGCACATGCGCATCGGTCTACTGGACCCGCGCTGGATCCAGGAGCAGGAGCGTTCCATCCGCGAGCGGCAGAACCAGGAGGAGGTCTACGCCCACGGTCAGTGGCGCCGTTGGTGCTTGCGTTGCCTTCGCCTGCCGGTCGTCATGCTTCTTTGAGAACTGCCTTTTGTGTTTTAGTGTTTGCGGTCCTTCCCCCCCCCGCACCTCTGATTTAGCATGGTTGGCTACGTGCGGTGCGAAAGAAGTTCAACGTGCATACATGCATCGTTGTTGCTTCTCCGTTTTTTTTTTTAATTGGCGGAGAGACTGAAATTGTAAGGTTTACAGCAGGGTTGGGGTAACTTTTTTTTTAAGTGAGGGCTGCATATAATTGCACTTTTCACGGCCACAATCCGGTTGAATATTATACATTTGAGTGGCACATCCAGGGCTTGTGAGAGGTACTCTAGACAGAGGCAAACTTCATAGTTCGCATTGTTTATAAAAATGTCTCTGTAGAACCTCTCAAAATTAAGTAAGACAAGGTGCGCCACTCTTAAATAAGCTTACGAAGTTCACAGTGGGGCAGCACCGATTGGGAAAACGAGATGGGACAAAGCCGGCGGTGTCGACTGTACGGCACTGACACGACTTGTCACGTGCCATCCTAGGCCTGGATATCGAGAGCAGCCTGAAGCAGCTGGCTGAGCGCCGTACCGATATCTTCGGTGTGGAGGAGACGGCTATCGGCAAGAAGATTGGGGAAGAGGAGATCCAGAAGCCCGAGGATAAGGTGAGAGAGAGAGAGCGCTTCGTCTCGTCGATTGCGATGGGCAAGCTCGATCTCCCGGCATGTTTTGTTCCTCGTTCCGTTGGTCTTTGCAACCGTTACGATTCTTGCTTCTTCCCTCGCTGCCTCGGTGCGTCACTGCCTCGAAGTCCTTTTCTGGACGGTTGTTTCTGCTTCCCTGATTTGACTCGGCTCCTTTTTTTCTTGGGTCTGTTGTTTTGATACTTTTTGGTTTTTTGGGTAAAGTCACGTAGGTAAAAAATAAAATAAAATAAATTAAAATGAAAACAACTAAATTAAAATTAAACTTAATTAAAAGGAAAACAACTAAATTAAACTTAATTTAGTTGCTTTCATTTTTATTTATTTGATTTAAAAATGAAATAATTTTATTTAAAAATAAATTAAAATGAAAACAACTAAATTTTTACTTAATTTAGTTGTTTTCAATTTATTTTATTTTTTACCTACGTGACTTTACCGAAAAAACCAAAGAGTATGGATCCTTGCAGTCACGAAAACTTCAAATCTGTTCTTTTGATGTTGCGCTGCTTTGCAGCGTCTGCAACATCCTCTTTAGCCTTCCGCGTGCATTGCTTCGTGTTGGCGTGAACACGCATGACCTAGGCTAGGTGAAGAGCAAATATTTCTGTTTGCGGAATCGAGCTACTACTGTCATTCGTCTAAGCTTCCTTGCTACCACACTCTGAATTATTTAAACTTATTATTTTACCAAGTAAGGCCCATTGAGCTATTTAACTCTTTTTCAGATGCGACCTGGCCACAAATGATAGCCCAATGAAGTGGCTTATGTGGAAATGTATAGCAACCGAATACTTTTAAACGCATTTGTGTCTAAATGTGGAGGGAAATACCTGAGTAGGACCCGGAGAAAAATCTACGCGACCACGGAGAGAGATACGCACAAACTCTAAATATATACAGCAGCAGGCGTCGGGGTCGGGTATCGAACCCACGACCGCCTGTGCAACCATGCGAGGTACTTAACATCTCGCCACCGTGTTCCAACTCCTCTCCCGCAGGTGACGTGGGATGGCCACACGGCGAGCATGGCGCGCACGCAGCAGGCGGCGCAGGCCAACATCAGCCTGCAGGAGCAGATCGAGGCCATCCACAAGGCCAAGGGCCTCGTGGGAGAGGATGAGGCCAAGGAGAAGATCGGGCCCAAGCCCGTGGTGTCGGGTCGCTCCGGCCCGCCGCCGGGTCCGCCGCCCGGACCTCCACGCTCCAACTCGGCCGCCTCCAACTCGCAGTCGATGTCCAACAGCATGCTGCCCAGCTCGCGCCCACCGCTGGTGCGTAAGCGATCGCATCGGGAAGAGGAGGAAAATGGGAGAATTCCGCTAATTTCGGTCGCGGTGCGGGTTAGGAGATAACATTCAGAGGTGTTAATGACGCTTTAATTCGTTGCTTTTTAATCTAGATTTTTTTTAAGCGTCGCGATTCATGCGTCTAGTCACGTGAAAGAATTGGATGTTTTTAAAGTGGGCAAATTTGCTTATCTAGCTTATTATCCCCCATCATATCCACCCAGCAGTGTAAGTGGGTACAGCACACTCAATTAACAGATCACAATATAGAGTCCGTATACAGATTGCATCAGTAGATCTCGCTAAAAGAACATGTACCGTTGGTCCCATTCATGTGTTCATTAGTCAGTGGTGGGCATTTTGCTTTATTTTACAGCTCTTTGTCAATCCACTGCTAGATGAAGGCCTCCACACACAATGTGTAGACATGGGTGTCTCTTTTGTTAAACAATATTCACGCCGGTTAGTACGGATTGCAGAAAGGAGGTAGTGTGGGTGCGTTTTAGATCACCGGGTTCATGGTGCAGTCAGCCACACCACTGTGCTGCCACTACTTCCCCCGAGGAATTGATTTAGCGGAATTGTGCTTTTGCAGTTGTTTAGGTCTTCAGCCCAAAGCTCCTTGACGTTGTGCGTCGCTGGTTCAGGCGGATGTTTTGTCTTTTTTTTTTACGGAGGAGAGCGGCAAAGTGTTTTGAACGAGTCTCCGACACTGCTGTTAATTTGAATGGGGAATGCGGTGCTTGCGTGAAATTCGTTAGCAATCTGTGAAAGGATTCAATCTGTGTTTTTCTTTTCCTCTCCACTGATGTGTGCGTACAATAAGAACATTTTTCACCCCGTGAGTCCTTTTTTTTCTCGAGTCCTGGGAACCGGGCCCAAGAAATCAAAAGTTTGTGTGTGTGTGTGTTGACCAGCTATGACGGTGTGAGTTTTGGCACCCAGATGATAAATTCCAACCTTAGCACAGTTTGCTTAACAAAACCTTCACCAATACAGTATGCAAATGTATGCCAATGCGTTCTTAGATTAAGGGGGGGGGGCAGGGTGGTTTGCTTAATATGAGGATTAAAGCTAGGGTTGATTCCGCTTGTAGAGCTGGGCTGCGATTTGCGTTGGGGGTCTAGCATTGGGATTGGCATTACGGTTTAGATTTGTCATGTTTGGGGTTTAGAGATAGGGCTAGAATTATATTGTATTATTATTATTGTTAATTTATATAAGACATGGTTCAGGTTGGTTGTTCGAGTTTGGGTGTTGGCATTTATTATTAATATTGGGACACCAGTTTGGTCAGGTGCTAGAGTTTGGGTGAGCGTCACGATTAGGGATACGATTTGTGTTTGGTGAGGGCTGGAGCCCGGGGGGGGGAGGGGGGGGTTCCTGACTTGTCTGACGTACGCGCGTGCGTGCTGGTGCCTCCCGTTGTGCAGATAGCGCAGCCGATGCGCACCACGGTGGTGCAGGCGGTACCTCTGCTGCCCCGACCTCCCATGCCGCCCATGCTTCGCCTGGCGCCCACGCCCGTCCTCACCACGCAGCTACCCCCGCAGATGCTGCCCGGGCCCTCGCGCATCTCCGTGCTACCCATGCCCCCGCCGGGCATGCCCTCGCGGCCCCCGCCCATGGGCGTGCCCACCGGTAACGCCACCTCTCCTCTCCTCGCCGTTGCCGTTTTTATTCTTTACATTTTGTGTTGTTCATCTTCTTGGTTCTTTCGGTAAAGTCACGTAGAAGGGAAGTAATAAAATAATAAAAATAAAACATAATAAAATAATTCTCACGACGTTTCGGCCACAACGCAAGCAGCCGTCCTCAGGTGAAGACCAGGTCTGTCGGGGAGACAGCGTCAGACGTTGTGGCCGAAACGTCGTGAGAATTATTTTATTATGTTTTATTTTTATTATTTTATTACTTCCCTTCTACGTGACTTTACCGAAAGAACCAAAAAGATGAATCCCTGCAGTCACGAAAGCTTTAAATCGAAATTTTGTGTTGTTCGTGCGTGGGTCTTTCAAGTCGGAAGTGAAAGCGATTTAGATTTTCTGCTCGAACGAGCATGCAGGCGATGCTCGTCTCTTGTGTACAGCCCTGCATAGCCATTGTTGGAAATTCCTCGTTCCTATTGCAGGGACGAGTCGATCCATAGTCCAAGCACTGTTGACTTGCCCACAAAGTGATACAATTTTTTATTGACCCCGGAGGGGTGGTGGGCTGAGTCAACCCCCAACCAGGATTTAAACTCGCAACCTTCCAATTGCGAGCCGCCGGCTTCACTGCTGAGCCACATTATAATTATATCAGGGTCTCTCGTGTCACTTATTCGACGCACGGTTCAGCTCCTACGTCCTTTTTTGGAGATGTTTTGTGAAATTGAACATTTTGTTCCCCGGAATCTAGACTGCACTTAATTGAATTCATAAATGCACTCTGCAATTGCAGTTGAGTACTAACTGAGAATTCTATTCCACTACGGTGGTGGTGGCTGTGTCTTGTGCAGTAATCGGTGACTGGGCAGAGATTGTCTTACTCCGCATTTAAGAATATAGTCGAATCGTGGGTTACGGTTGCATGTGTTTTGAATCCCAAGATCTCGGCAGCCATAGTTCTAGTGCTACCCCCATAATTTAGAACTCTCAGCCATTCGTGCCTTCGACTCCTTACCCCTGCTCAAGTTAATGCTAAATAACTTTTTTCATTTGCCGATGAGTGACTGCATTTTGACGCTACGTAAATCCAGACCGCACTGCATTGTCTTATGGAGCTACACGAGATCGAAGCTTACCCGGTCACCTCACTTTTCACGTGCAAAAATCACGCGAGTTATGTTGAAGATGGAAATGTCTCAGACACTTGCAATTCAAAACACACCCGCCGACGTCGTCGTTGTTGTCCTGACTGTACCGTGTGTTTGTGCGCGCGGACAGTGTTTGTGGCCACCCAGGTGGGCCCCCCGTCAGGCCCGGGAGGGGGCCGAATGCTCCCCCACCACAACGCGCCCTCCCAGCAGGACGACGAGCCGGCCTCCAAAAAACTCAAGACGGAGGACAACCTCATTCCCGAGGAGGAGTTCCTACGGCGCCACCGGGTGCGTGGGTGTTGGGGATGGTAGGGCGGGGGCGACTGCCTCACGCGTAACCTGAGCATCGGGTAATCATCGTCGTCATTAGCTGGGATCCGTCTACTGCCGGTCGAAGGCAAAGTTCACCCGTGCTCAAAACGGTTCTCGTCATCGTGTAGCCAGTGACCGAGTCGCCAGGAATGCACTCGATTTTGTCAGATCGCGCGAGATCTCAGACGCTATGCGGGAGTTGAGCCTGTGGATAGCGCTTGGACGGGCGACCCAGCGTGTATTAAAGTGGTTGTCATAGGCCGCTGCTGCTGCTGGGAGGCTACGTAGTGTGCAGCAGAGGGCAGTGCGGCAAAATCCATTGTTGTCACCTATCGCTGACCAACCTGCACTGACCAGCATGGTGAAGTGTGGTTAAATAGCCCCTCACATCCTGCAAAGTGAAGGGAAACCATTCGTCCAGCAGTAGAGTGCCGAAAGGGGCCGGTAAAGTGCAGTACGTGCCAGTTTGTTTCACACGCTTGTATGTACGTATGTTGAACTTATTTTACACCGAACTCGTCCGTGTCCTGTATTACCAACCCGAGCGGTCGAGGCGGCGACACTGAATGTGCGCTGCTGTCTCTCTGCCGCAGGGTGCCGTGTCCTGTATTACCAACCCGAGCGGTCGAGGCGGCGACACTGAATGTGTTTTGTTGTCTCTCTGCCGCAGGGTGCCGTGTCCTTCAAGGTTCAGGTCCCCAACATGCAGGACAAGTCGGAATGGAAGCTGAACGGACAGACTCTGAGTTTCAACCTCCCGCTGACCGACCAGGTGAGGCCACCATCACCGGTGCTCGTATATATAAAAAAAAACTATAAACTTTTTTTTATTTTACCAGGAAAGGCCCCAATGAGCTGCGTTGCTATTTTGTCAGAAGCGACCTGACCACAAATGATAGCTCAACGAAGTGGCTTATCACGTGGAAATTTATAGCAGCCAAATACCCTAAACGCACGTTGATTCTAAACATGGAGGGAAAAACCAGACGACCCGGAGAAAAATCCACCCTTGGCGCGAATTACTTGGCGTGGTACGGTGTCCAAAAGTGGATCTGGAAATGGAGCCCAAACTGGATGGTGGAAATCTTGATTTAAAGCTTTCGTGACTGTAGGAATCCATACTCTTTGGTTCTTTTGGTAAAGTATTAATAAACTCCACTCTTTGGATGGTGGAGTTTATTAATAAACTCACGTGACTGCTGAAAATTGTAATCGTAAAAAAAAATAGCGTGGCCTCTGCGCCACGTTTCACCGCCTTGCTTTCCTCTCTGCCGTCTGGGCAATAATCTGGGTGGTGGATGTGTCCCCTGACTAGGACTGCCCATTGGGGTGGAGCTATAGGACGGTGAGGAGGGGGATAAACAGTGGAGACTTGATTCAGTAGATGATTGATAGCTTTGGTTGAACACTTGAACTGAAATGTTGGTCACAATTCAGCCGGACATACAGACAAGCATCCCCTGTGTAGCCATTAACAGACTGTTGGGGCAGTCTGTTAATGACAGCCGGCACAGCACACGAAGGGAGTGGCGATGTTTGCACATTGTACCAGGAACTCATTTGAGGCCGAGTCAACCTTGTGGAGGCCCAGGGCCAGTTCAGAAAATTGTCACTGGTGTTGGCCATGAGCGGGAATCGAACTCGGGTCTCTGCTGGGTTCTTATGTTTATGTCATCGGTATGGAACCAGAAAAAAAAAATAACTTTATCGGTACCGAGGCTCTCACAAGACCATGCGGGAGGGCGTGTGGCACAGTTTGGCATCAGCTATCGTAGAGTGCGGTCGTGTCGCCACAGTTCTCTGCGGTGAGTACAACGTCTTTAAAACTAACGGTGCTACGCCTCTCTAAATAAAATTAACGCCAAACCGCTTGCGCGTTCCGAGATTCGGCGGCGAACGAGACGCCCACCCTGAAACTTGCAGTCGTCTCGGAATGGGAAAGGGTGATTTTTACCGATCGTTGTGTTTTTCTCATCTGCCCCGTCCAGGTGTCCGTCATCAAGGCTAAGATACATGAGAGCACGGGCATGCCGGCTGGAAAACAGAAGTTGCAGTTTGAGGTAATGCAACTGACACTGTCACTGGTGGAATGTTACAGCTGTGCTTTTTTTTTACATGAGGTTAAGGGTGGAGATTTGTGAATTCTTTTTGTCTTAAAAAATGTCCTGAAGTCTGCTTTCCACATCATACCGAGCAGTGCATCACCCAGTGTGTTAGAGATTGGCCCGGGGAAAGATGATATCATAGAGCGGCTTCTGGTGTTCCCTTAAAAAAGTACTTTGAATCCACAGTAGGGCAGCCACACTTCCCTACAAACTTGCCAGAGGAATGTTCGTTCTTCACGTGGCAGTCAAATAAAAGTCACACGGCAGTGAAATAAAAGTCACATGGTAGTCAACCCGAGGCCAATTAAGCGAAAAACCGACATGATGGGGTTTTTTTTCTGCAGTCATTGGTTAACTGGGCTGAGACAATAAACTCTACACTTCAGAAATCTGGTTCATCACAGGTGGCGGAAACTTAGATTTGAATCGGAATATGTGTCTATACTGGAGTAATCCGATGAGCTATATAAAGTACAGATGTCCAGGTGGTTCTCATCAGTGCCAGCTCTGTGACCAGCCCCCTGAGCCACACAAAGTACGTTCCCTGCGCCTTAAACAAAAAAAATGTTGGGCTACTCATTAAAAAAAACAATGGGGGGGGGGGGGGTGGGGGTTTGCTGTGTAATGTCAGCAGGTGCCCTTGGGGTGAAATATTAAACCTAAATAAACCATGGCCCCTATTTACTTGGCGTTGCTGCTCATTGACAACCCGTTGAAGTGCTTGTAAAAAGAGAGTTGTGATCCTCAAGTTGACCGTGTGTGTGTGTGCGCGCGTGCGTGTGTTCTGTCTTGCAGGGTATTTTCATCAAGGACTCCAACTCGTTGGCCTATTACAATATGCTCAACGGGTCGGTCATTCACCTGGCCCTCAAGGAGAGAGGCGGTCGCAAAAAGTAGTGGCCCTTCCAGGCCGCGTGGTTTGGGATGCGTCAGGTCTTTGGTTATTTTTTTTTGTGACCGATGAGTGTTGCGTGTACCGTGCGAGAGGTCGCGGGTTCTCGATGAAACCTCCCCGTGGGTTTTAGCACGCGAGGTGAACCCTAAATGTGACAGTGGGATTTTATTTCTGGAACTGCTTCACCGTTTCATACTTTTGCGGGGAAATCATTTTGATACGAACAGTTTCGTTAAACTGGTCGTGCTTCCCGATTATGGCAGGATGTGCCGATGGAGGTATTTTCTTAAAGTTTGTTATCTTGCGTTGCTTTTTACAGCAGAGGTGGCAGATTTTTGTTTATTGGGTCTGGCAGGAAAAACTCGGGTAATCCAAACCAATAGACAACATTCACTCATCCAAAGGGATTTGCATAGTCCACATACAGTTGTCATATTGCATTGGCCTATTAGCGGACTCCAATAAATGCTGCCAGAAATATCAGTTTATTTTTCTAGTGAGAAGTCGAAAAGACCAGGTTGTCTCATTTACAAGAATGTCCTGGGTATGCCAGCCTTGACTGGGTTGCCTTGACTGGGTTCCAATGTGCGTTTTATTAGAACAAGTGCTGTCTTTAGCACTTATACTAATAAGTGCAACTTTTTAACAAGCGACAAAGATATCTTGAGTAAATGGAGGGAGGGAGGGACCCTTTTGTAAAGGAGTAAACATTGTTTGGAAATCTGAAAGGATGAGTAAAAAGTTCTACCAACTTCTAAAGATGTATCCCACCCAAATCCAGGACAATTTATTTTCCTCGCTAGTTTATTTAGAATGCAATGAAGACAAATGCGTGTTATTCCCATAACGTGGATTAATTTTCTGCAACTTATCCTCGTCGTCGTATTTGTTGTCGTTTTTCTCTCCGTGCCCCGAAAAAAAACATTCCACCAGTTAATTTAGAATTAGGGCAGTCGCTTTTTTTTCTGTTTCCCTCGATTCTTTTTGTGCACGTCGCAGAACAATGAACATCCCATTTCACGGAACAGATGCCAGGCGATGCTGGATTGTTGGCGCCAAATGCCAAAGTGGGAACTCGTTATTTGTCGCAAAATCGTATCACACCCCCCCCCCTCCCCACCATCATCATCATTGTTCTTTCATTTCAGGAGCAGTTGAAATAAACTTTTGGTGAAATGTACTTTGATACATTTTTACTGGACTTTGCCGTCGTGTGATGGTGTGTACAAGGGACTTGCAATCAAGTCACCGATCTGATCTGTCTGCTTGGCAAGTCGTAAAAATGGCAAAAGTTTCTTAAATCCCACGTGTCTGCCCACCGAACAGCACAGTACAAATGGGTGCCACGATGGCTAGGATATGTTAACTACCTCGCCTGGTATACAGGAGGTTGTGGGTTAAATCCTGACCCTGACACCTGTATATTTGGAGTGTGCATGTTCTCCTTGTGGTTGTGGATTTTTTGCCGGGGCCTCCCGTTTTTCCCTCCACATTTAGAATCAACATGCGTTCGGAGTATTTGGCTGCTATAAATTTCCACAAGATGATAAGCCGCTTCGTTCCGCTGTCATTCGTGATCGCCGGGTTGCTTCTGAAAAAGAGCTGTCCAGCTTGCAGAGGGCCTGACCTGGTGAAATCAACAGCGTCAACGCTGTTAGTCGAGCGGCAGGTCACGTGTGCGGTGAAGGATGAGCACCTTACCACCTCTTCCCAAAACGAAAGTTTGGCCAGCATGGAAGAGGCAGGAAAAACATTTTTCGAGAGGAGCTCTCTGGTGCTCCATCTCGTCACGCAGGGGTGGGGAACCTTTTTTCTGCCAAGGGTAATTTGGATATTTATAACATTTGCGGGCCATACAAAATTATGAACTTAAAAATTAGCCTGTGATATTTGGTCAAACATTTAATTAACTCACCCCTAATGCGATGGCTGGAACTGCTACTCTTTGGTGATGCGTGTGATGTTAGCTGGTATTGATGATGTTGCTGCTACTTCGCAACTGCTTTTCCAGATTTGCTCCGAGATTGATTGAATTTCGAGTCCCACCTGCGGTTGCCTTTGCAGGGCCACACCAAATGATTTCGCTGGCCTAAAATGGCCCGCGGGCCGGACGTTCCCCACCCCTGATTCTAGTGGATGCTCTTCCGCCAGGGCGTGAGCAAGTTACCCTCGACAGCAGTCGTGCTCCAAACCTGTGGTGCGCGGACACCCTGGTGGTCCACGAGGCTTACTACAGAGGGGTTCGTGGGAAAAAATACAGGAATCTGAATGTTTATACTGGAGAAATCCGATGAGCTATGAAGCTCTTGTTTTCACAGACGTCCAGTAGAATAACGTCCTCAAGGAAGTGTGCAAATTTAAATGACTACCTTTAGCGTGTGGTGGTGGTGGTTTGTTTAATATTGAAAAGGGGTCCGCACACAGGTTTAAGAACCGCTGCTGCTCTGAAGCTACTGCAATTACATGGCTGCACCTTTATCAATGGAGTTGGTCAGATTTTTTTTATAAATTGTAAACTAAACTAAAGCTTTGTATTATGAATCTTTTTATGTTACCAGGTAAGGCCCACAGCTATTATCGCTCTTTTTCAGAAGCGACCTGGCCACAAATGATTGCTCAACGAAGTGGCTTGTCATCACGTGGACATTTATGGCAGCTAAACACTCTAAACGCGTGACGTTGATTCTAAATGTGGAGGGAAAACCAGGAAGAACCGGAGAAAAATCCACGCGACCACGGGGAGAGACAAACTCTAAATATATACAGCAGCAGGCTTCAGGGTCGAACCCACGACCTGTACACCAGGCGAAATAGTTAATCTCACCACAGCGACGATATTAGTGTACGTGGTGATTAATCCTTAAGTGACAATGTCAGCACATCGCTCAAAGAGGCTTGTTATAACTCGCCTCCAGTTGTGCCGAGCATTCTTGATTACTGTACTGCGGTCTTTCATGGGTTTGATACCGAACCGTCTGTAGTTGCACACGGTCCATTTGCCGATCCACTGCTCGATGAGGCGCTCCCAAAGCAGGTTGTGGAAGATGTTTTTTTGACCGTCCTGTGCGCGGTAGTTGGAACACGCTGGGGCGCCTCCGATTGGCACGGATGGCTACGTACGGTGGCGAAAGAGGTTCGACTGTACGGTCTAACGTATACATACGGGCATGCATCGTCTGTTGTGGCATCGCGCAGTCACGCAACGGTTGTTGCGACACTTGCCCTCTGCAGATGAATAGCCAGCAACAACATATAACGCAATGTTTTATGTGGCAGATTGCCTGTCCCACCACACCAGGCTGAGCGGTCTGGTTCGGGTCGCCTGGCGGCGTATTCTGGGTGATTTAGGAGTCACGCTCATGGTGGGTTCAACTACTCTTTGGAATCAACACACGTTTAGGGTGTTTGGCTGCCGCTATAAAATTCCACACGACGATAAGCCGCTTCATTTGCATATCTGTGAACCCCTTATCAGCACCTACCTTATTACAGACCAATTCAGACCTTATTGCCCCCCCCCCCCCCGTGCCCTTATAAATCTCATCGTTCATCCTACAAAATCCCATCACAAGGGAGAAACCCAAATAGACAATCTCACCACTCCTACACTCACCACTAGTACACTCACCATGTTGAAATGGCTATATGCCGTATGGACCTGAAAACTCAATTTCTCTGTACAAGAATACGGGTTGAAAACCCGTATGGGTTGACACGGTATGCACAGTGCCAGATTATCCCGGTAGCAAAAGTAGCTACAAATTCTCTGGGCCCCGCACTTTCAAGGGCGCCGCGCTAAATGCTTTCAAGCTATCAAGAGATTCTGCACTTGCTCTATCACTATAGTACTATACTGCCTTCAACTATTATGAACGACTGGGTGTTTAATGTTAGCGATTTGTCGTATTACCTGGCTGTATAGCAAATGAAAAAATACAATTTACTTTCCTATACAAGTGAAACAAGTTTTAATATTTTTCCTTTTTTCCTATTTAGGGCCCCTTTATAACAAACGCCACAGGCCACGCACGAGCTTAATCCGGCACTGGCTTGTGCATTTGTGACAGCCAGGTATAGTCGAGCACACGTGGACCACGCACGGCTTGACCTACTACCGTGCGTGGTGTGCGTTACCCTGAAGGGACCAGCAGGTGGCTCTGAACGTCGCGAGAGAGAAAGAGTCGAGGGCACTCATTGTCAAGAGGTGTGGGTTGGGCGGTGTGGTGGTGGGCACATTCGCCCGATAAGACGTCGCCAGCACTGTGTGAGAGGGGCAGCCACACATTTGAAACCATTGAGGGGCGGGTGGGGGTTGTGACAGCAGCACGGTGATGATGATGGTTGTGGGTTGCTTTCACTCTGTGTTGTCTGGGGGAGGTGGGGGGGGGTCACACCATCAGGGACCGCACTGAAGGCCACCACCATGGGCTCCCAGTGGCCATGACGAGCACCGGTCCGGGGCGTTCGGAGGGGAGTCCCAGCCGGAGCCCTGCCCAGACTCCCTGCGCCCTGCTTCGTCAAATCTCGGCGGTCGCGAGCGGCTTGCCAAAGCGCGAGAGAGACGGGCGACGTGGACATCGATAACCCACCCCCCCCCCCCCGGGGCTCGCACTCAAGGAGATGGAAGTCGTCCCGAAAAAAAAAAAAATTACAAAACGTCAGCACGAGAGGACAACAAATCCCGTATGCAACGAATGCGACTTTAATCGTTAGCTTGACTCCGACTGCACATTGACAATTTACAAAAGTGCCTTATTTGCAGGTCCTATAATCCTCTTGCCTCGGACTGAAGCAAATCCTCGTGATTTGAGACGCTTGATTCAACGCCCCTTGACATGGGGTGGGCTCCTTGGGGAGGCGCATTGCTCTTCTACGGTGATTGTAAATCGACAAAGGAAACAAAACAATACACATATAACCCCCCCCTCCCCATCACACTACATCATCATTATTATTATTGCCTTACGCTTCCCGATTATAAAAGTTGGTCAATCGAGCCAACCGATGGAAGTGTTCTGTGCGATTTCAGAATTTCGGAAGAGATGCTGCACCCCCGCGACTGGCTGGGGCGATCTGCGGTCGATCTTGAGCCGAAGCGGTGACGCCCGAGATACGACGGAGCCAAGGTGGTAAGCGCCAAGTCCCTCGTGTAAACGTAGAGAGAGAGGGGGGGGGAGGGGGTTCAAAGCACGCCCCCCCAACTTGTTGCGTCGTCACAACCGCGTGCCATCGCATCGGTCGCGCCCGGCCTCCTACGCGTTAAACGTTTCGATGAGTCCATCCGTCCATCTGCACGCGCGCACGTGCGTGCGTGTGTTTAGCGTCTTGTCTAACTAAAAGCGATTTTCCCAGTTTAGTGATCTTGCCGTTGAGGGCAATACGCGCGTAATTCAATACCATGAATGCGGTAAACTTGAACGTGATTTTCTTTTGCCCTTTACGGTGCAAAAACAACATTTGCTTAAATTATATTCAATTTCCTATACCGCAAGTAGTCGTATTATATTCTTTTACACGATTGCTTACATCAGTTAATACAAATCTGCTGCGGAACTGTAACAGTTAACATGATATTATGACCAAAAAAAAAGGGGAAAAGGGTGTGGCAAAACTGGCAACGTGAACATTTCGAAGACGAAGTTGTGAAGGCGGAGAGATGGGGGGGGGGGGGGCGGTGGAGGTCGTGTCCGTAAAGTCGGCACGTCGAGCTTAGCCGCGGCGGCCCAACATCGCGACCGACAGCCAACGGACGTGCGGCCGACGCCGTGGCGCGAAGGCATCCCCCGCTTTTTGGGAGGTGGAGGCCCGCACGCTCGCAAAGCTCCGATTCTCTCCGTCGGCACTGTGACGCCGGCGGGGAGGAACGACCGAGGAAGACTTCTCCGTTTCCCTCGCGGACGGCGGCGGCGGCGGCTGCACGCTCCATTGTCCGGAGGCGCGAGCAGCCGCGCTTTTAAAAAGTTTACATTTTCCAGTCGAAGACGCTCCCCCAACCCCCCCACAGGCAATCTCGTCGCTCGCCTGCCTGCACGCCCGCGAGCGCCTGCGATGCGACGACGCGGCGTGGAACAGCGCGAGGGAGAGGGAAGCAAGACCCCGGGGGGGGGGGGGGGGAGGCCACGCGAAATCGGGATTCTCGGTAACCACCCCAAGTGGTCAAAACACGGCGGGTAAACAAAGTGCAGCGGGACTCGCGAGTGGCCTCCGTGCGGGAGCGGCTCGCACCGCCGCCCCCCTGACGGGATTCCGTCGGCAAAAGGGGTCGCTCATTTCTCGTGGCGGCGTTTGGGATTCGGAAAAACTTCCCGTCCTATCCAACGCCACGCACAATCCCGTGAAATGCCTGTCTCTCGCCGTCTCTCAGCCCGGATCCCAAACCCCCCCCCCCCCGCTACCCCTCCCAGCAATTCAACGTAATGTTCAGCCCTGATGGGTTTATACAAAAAAAAAAGTCAGTGTTGTATTTTACTTTACATAACGACCAAGGAATTATTTGTATTTCCGACTCTCCCTCCTCCCCTCACCCACCCTCCCGCCCCCCTCCACTCCCTTCCAACTCCCCCCCCCGCCACCCAACTGTGAATTCGAAATCGTTAGCGCATGTGCACGGCCGTCCCCGACCCATCAGAGATACGTCTCCTCCAGAGACAGCTCGGACAGGATGCTCAGAGTCGAGCGCTTAACTTCCGGGTTCATGTCGGGGTCGGCGAGCGAGTGGCGCTCGCCGAGATCCGCCTCGGCCTTCCCGTTCTTCGAGTCCTGGTGGCCGTTGGCCAAGCGGTCACCCTTCTCGCTGCCGCTCCGTTTCTTTTTCTTCTTCTCCATCTTGAGCCTCTCCTTCTCCTCCAGGGCCCTGTTCTTCTCCTCCTCCTTCCTCAGCCTCTCCCGCTCCTTGTCGGCCTTCTTCTTCATCCTCGTGTCATCCTTGCCCGGCCTGATGCTCGCCATGCTGCCCGTGGGTGACAGCGGAGCGCGGGCGATCGTCGCGGTGGAAGAGGGCGAAGGCGGCGTGAAGTCAGAGGGAGCCGGCACCGGCGCGCCCTTGCTGTCGTCGTGCACGGCGCGCGTGCCGTACAGCCGGTGCACCGACGAAGCCGGATACAGGCTGCCCTTCTGCTCCTTCCACTTGCCGATCTGCTTCTGCCGCTCCGTCTCGATCTGGCTCTCTGTCACCTCCAACTCCAGCACCTGATGAGTTGGCATGAGAAGGGAGGGGGGGGTTGGGAGGGGATGGAGGAGAAGAAGCTGTTTAGCTCAGCACGGTGACCAAGAGAAAAATACCGCGCTCCCTTCCCACTCTCTTCTCTCCTAGCCGCCCCGAAAACATGAAAAATGTTTTCCGACGAACGTGGCAAAGACCGCTGGCAAGTTCGGTGGGCGGCCGGTGGAACCGGTCAACGCTCGACACGCTCGCGAGGCTCACATCTGGGAACGTTTAAAAAAAAATATTGGCCCCCCGATTTTGACGCGCGTTGCTCGAAGCCAAGTTCTGCGATTTGGGTCGCCCTCTCTCGGTTGCCAGTTTTAGGCGAACGCGCGTGGAGGAGCGAGGATGTTTATCCCAGACGATCCCCGCCCCCCACCTTCCCTCCCCCCACAAACCCCCATTCAAACCCACAACACTCAGAACAGTTACCACCACACAGCACACACTACAGATGTTTAGGCTCGTGAACAATTGACCCACTACCCGCCCCCCACACAGACTCCACCACACTCTCCCTCGAACCCGCCCGTTCAAGAAATTGTCACGATTTGGGGAGGGGTCACGATTTGATGATGATCTAAGCGTCGATTCTGTTCTGCCTCGTTTGTAGCGTCTCCCATCCGTACTGTCCCGTTCGTGTGCTGCCTGTACAATTTTGTTTGCATCATTACAACGTCTCACATGTACTCTGCCCCATTTGTACTCACCCCCCCCCCCCCCCTTGGTATGTGCTCCTCCAACTATGTGTAGTAAAAATGAAGATCCGTAGCACTTGTCTGCCGTTTACATATTGACATTGACAATCACCGTCAAAGTGGAGGTTGTTGCGGTGGTCGAGGTGGATCACTGCCGTTGATCAAAGCTTCTCGGTTCCGCGATAATCTGCGCGGCATTGCGCCTGCTGGTCCAATTTGTACGACTTTTTACTTAACCCCGTAACCCTTTGTTTTGATTCCCGTGTGTTCATTGTTTCCCCCCCCCCCTCCCCGTTTATGTTTCACGCGAAATCGCCCCGTGTAAGGCACCATGCACTTTCGAATCGTTATCACTCCACGTACTGTCTGAACTTTGAACCGCCGGTCGGACCCCGCCGCCGGCGTTCCCACCTCGTTCTTTACAACCATTCTCCAGCGTTCGGGGGGCACTCGCGTAAAGGCACGCGTCTGACCCATCACCCCAATCAACTCGTCAGATCTCGGAAGCCAAGCGGGGAGCATTGTGGAGTTGAAAGCAAGCTCCGATTAGCACGGTTGGCTACGTACGGCGCGAAAGAGGTTCAACGTACACACTACATGAGTTTCAGATTCCCCGACTTGTGTTCGAGGCTTTAAATTGGCTTACTCCATCATACATCCAGATGGTGATTCAGCCACACATTCCTGCACTGAGATAAGTCTCTGAGATCAACAGCCATCGTGCCCCCCCACCCCCCCTAAACTCCACGTGACCGCACTCCAGGCTCCGAACACGGAGTCCCCAACCGGGTTTATTTGTCAACACAGCGCCCAGGATCTGGGATTCCCTGTCCCACCTTGGAGGTCATAAACTCGCAGTCGATACAAACTTCTAAAAGTCTCGGATGAAGTCACCAACTACCTGTTGAAAACGTCCTTCCCTCTCTCTCTCTCGAGTTCCCGATCTAGTCCCTCAAGTCTTTTTCTCTCCCCCTGTTACTTTTCACTTATACTCCTCCTTTACATGCACGGCACTCGCTCTGAGATTCGCTGTTTAAGGGCGCCTTCTAAAGCTTAGTTATTAATCACGCGTTGGCTCTGGCCGTATGTTCGTCCGTCTGAAACGGAGGATGGGGGGGGGGGGATCGTGAAGATGATCCCATGCGGACTCAACTTTAGGCTAAAGCTGTGTTGCTGTTAGGGATGCACCCCAGAGAAATACAGCCAGATTGACCAAAGCGTTGATATTCATAACAATGAGACTTTATGGAGCGTCGTAACGTGGCCCTGCCAAACATGAAACGTCAGTCGTTAGTCAAAATCATCTATTTCTCATTGATGTGGGGTAATGGACAAAAATGGTAGCCCCCGCGCCTTGCCCGGGCAGATCCGCTATGCGAGACCCGTTGTCCCATCGCGGCCTACCGACGTACCGCTTCCTGTGAGCCTGGCACACGCGCACTTTACCGTCACAATTATCGCCAATGAATGACTCCCGAGGGGGGCAAAACGCATGCTTGAAAGCGTTACAAGATCCGTATGGATCCATGGCTTGCCACGGCGGTGAGATGTTAACTCCCTCGCCTGGTTTACAAGAGGTCGTGGGTTCAATCCCCCCGGCCTGACGCCTGCTGTGCATTTGGAGTTTGCGTGTCTCTCTCTCTCCCCGTGGTCACGTGGATTTTTCTCCGGGTCCTCCGGTTTTTCCCTCCACGTCTAGAATGAACGTCACGCGTTTCAGAGTATTTGGCTGCTGCTGCTGCTGCTGCTATAAATTTCCACGCGACAAGCCGCTTTGTTGGGCTATCATTTGCGATGGCCAGGTCGCTTCTGAAAAAAATTGCGAAACAGCTCAGTCGGCCTCACCTGGTAAGTAAAAAAAAAATGTGCAGTTTGGCAGGGGGATGGGGTGGTCACCTCGTGCATGAGCCTGTCCTCGTGCATGTACTCGGCGGGGATGTTGCGCAGCTTCTCCATCGTCTCGTAGAGGCCCTGGCAATCGCGCAGTTTGTCCGAGCTGCCGATGGTGTTGCGCACGAGGGAGATGGCCACACGGAACACCACCTTCACGCCTGGCGAGACGAGGGTGGACCGACGGTTTAATGAGTGAGTAGGCTTTCGCGACCGATATTATTCGTAATGTGTCGTTAACTCGCCACCTTCACGCCTGGCGAGACGAGGGTGGACCGACGGTTTAAAGCGTAAGTAGGCTTTCGCGACCGATTCTATCCATAATAAAGTTTTTTTTTGGGTTAGACCACGTAAATATAAATGTGTCGTTAATCCCACCACCACCCGATACAGCCGATTAGTGATGTTTGTCACGTAAAGAAAACGTGCCAATTATAGTTACGATTTCAGCACACCGGTGTGTTGGAGAGTAAACCCACGACATTAACAATTTGGAGTGCGACGTTTCGCCGGAGATTACAACCGGCTACATTTGTCGAATCTGCCACAATTGTGAGGATGTCTTCCTTGCTTCCGGTCTTAAATAGAATAAAGGTGACATCATCACTACGAGGGGACGATGGACGTCCGCCGACTTGGCGCCGGTAAAGCGAACATCACGGTTAAATAAAGGGCAGTGCCACCGTTATTATTTGAACCAAGTGGCTTGTGTTCACGAGAACATGAAAACTCCATTTCAGGCTGAGCTGAGCAACGGAAGATATGCATTTTTAATAGTTTGCTTGAAATGCAATATTATTCCTCGACGAAGGTTATTCTAATGACATCGGCACCAGCAACCGCAGCAGCAGCAGCATCAGCAGCAACGACACTAGGATCCGCAACAGCAGCTGCATCATCAGAACCAGCATCTTCGTCAGCAGCACCAAGGGTATTATCACCATTAGCACCATCAGCACTCTCAGCAACCCAGCAGCGCTACCACCGGCAAGTAGTGGCAGATCAAAGGGGGGGGGGGAGGGGGTGGTGGGATCTTCCCTCCCCCCCTACCTCTTAAAATCATTAAAATTGCTTCCCTCCCCCGAGGAAGTTTCTCGATCCGTCTCAGGCATCTGGGTCGGGGTACAAACGGAACACTTGGCAGGGGTTGGCACAGCTCCCCTCCCCGTGTCGGTTTACGGAACAATTAGGCCTGCTGCCAGTGGCCCTGTCGCCCGCTGGCCAAACCGCCCGGCCGCCCGCCCGCCCGCTCTCCCGGAGCGTGCTCACTCACTCGCTTGTTCGTTCGCTAGCTCGCGGGAGATGCAATCTCGCCGTAATTGCACGGAGCGTGCATTCCCCTCGAGTCCCCTGGAGTCGCACTCCACGCCGATTAAGTAAATAGCATTTTTTTAAGGTTTTGTGTTGACGCGAGAAAAATAATAATAAAGATGGAGTGGACGTGTTCGGTTTTTGCCGATGCGTGAACGCCGCTGCCTGCCAAGGGCTGCTGGGACTTGCGTCGTGGGGGGGGGGGGGGGGGGGGGGGCAGTGGTGGGGCGGGGGGGCCCGGTGGGGGAGAGGAGTGGAGGTTGCAGCAGCGACGGTGGCACGAGGTGGCGGCGTTCTTTTTCCTCGGCGACGCCGAGCCAATTTTTCGCAGCCATTTTCTGAACGATATTTTCGTTGCGGGCGAGCACTTGGTGGTGCTTCTGCTGAAAGCTGTTTTTTTTTTTCACGACCTTTTGAAATAACGTGGAATTCCAGGAGAAATTTCTCTCACCCTCTGCAATTAAACGGCCAGTTATGGTTAATAAAAAAAACAGTACCAGTGGCCTGCAATATTGACCAGAAATATCCATCGGTGTGGATCGCCAGAATCATTTCTGAGTGAATGCTGGTGAAATGTATTCAACGAGTCATCAATGCATTACATTCCTCCGATTAGCACAATTGGCTACGTACAGTGCGAAAGAAGTTCAACAATCAAGCAATTCAAGGATAAATTCTCTCTTCCAACTTTGTGCTGAAAGGACGGGCCACAAGTTCCTACAGTGATCAAGTAACCCCAGTATGGCAAATATGTATATACGAATTGGAAAACATAAATTATTTCTAAACTAATTACATTTAAAATCATCATCATCATCATTTAAAGCCCTTTGTCAAACCACTGCAGGATACAGGCCTCCCCATGCCATGTCAGTAATGGGATGTGGTTTGACCATACTTCACCACGCTGGTCAGTGCGAGTCGGTGAACGGGGGAGGGGCGGCGTGCCCAAGACCGATTCAGATATCGCTCGCCACTGATGTTAGCTGTGTGCCGGAAATCAAACTCACGTCGCCGGATTCGTATCACAGCGAGCTACCCGCTGCGCTCCCATCGCTGCAAACCCCGAGGCGTCGAGGCATCGATGACGATCGACGCATCATTGGGAAGCTCGTGGGAACGCCTTTCCCCTCGAGCCGAACGACTCAGAACCATAGCGACGATGGTGTGCCCGGCACCCACTGTTTACAACCACACTCTGGCCAGGTGGTGAGAGCAGGCCGCTCGCACAAAGTTCAAGTGCGGTTCGTTACACGGGGCAGTGGGAGAGAATAGAGCCCACATCCTTACGTCCAATAACTTCTCCCCGCACGTGACCTGACGAACTTTGAGATGGTATTATTTTCCATCCTCGGGCCTAGCATTTCCAGGAATCATTTTTCATTTCATTCGATGTTCATGCTACGGCTTTGGTGCCTTTCGTCTTGTATAATAAATCTATAAATATATTGGAAATAGCTCCGTCACAAAGCAAGCAAGTGCTGGCAGTGGAGGTGGCGATTGTGATGGTGGTGGCGGCGGCGGTGTACGTGGCAGCGGTGATTGTGGTAGCCGTGATGACGGTGGCTGTCGTGGCGTTGGTGGTGATGGTTACTCCAGTGGCAATATTGGTGATAATAATTGTGGTGGCGGTGGCGGTGACGATGGTGGTGGTGTCGACGGTAATTGTAGTGGTTGTGGTGGCAGCAATCGTAACAGTATTGTGATCGTAGCGATGGCGGTGGTGCTCACGACGGTAGCCGTAGTGGCGGTCGTAACAGTGAAGGCGGCGGCGGCGTTGTGTGGAGACCCTCACCCTCGCAGAAGAAGATGTCCCAGACTCGGAGCACGGAGGCCCAGGGCAGCGTGCGGGAGAAGACGCACATGAACCACTCGGTCATGTAGAGGATGGGGTCCACCTTGTGCTTCTTGAGGTGGCGGTAGGCCAGGGTGCACGTCTTCTTCAGCACCGCCGACAGAGTCTCCCCGTCCAGCTGCACTCCCTCCTGCCGACGCGACGACCCACACGGGCGGTCACGTTGTTGCAGGAGTCGCCAGGCGCTCATTCACACGCGCCGCCGCCGCCGCCACACCACTCCCCCCCACCGCTCCCACCTCCCCATCTACCCACCTCCACACCGCCCAAACGCCCCATCTCCCCACCGGCCGTCTGGAGCGCTCTTCCTTCCGATATTAGGAAGCCACTGGAGCTTATGCACTTTTAAATCATATAGATTGAAACTCATTTCTTTAGAACTGCTTTTTGTGTTTAGTACACGGTCCTTTCCCCACACCTCCATTTAGCAAAAGAAGTTCAACACACATACATCTCACCGCTCCCGAGCCACACCGACCCACCACCACCACCCCACTTACGCGCCGTTCTCGGCTTTGAGTTGCACTCAAAAAATATTTGGAGCCCGACTTGGTTGGTTGTATTTATTCCGATGTTATAATTATTATCACTACGCAAGTTTACCCAGGAAAGTCTTGCCAAGTCTCAAACCTCGTGGGACGTGCAGTTTTTTCAAGTTGCTGCTCTCTGTTTTTTTTCCTTTCCCCCGTGGAGTAATTTGCAGGTACATTTTTTTTCTTCTTCTTCCAGAAAATAGGACAAAGGGCCAATACCCATTGCGGTGTTTGTCTTTAGCTTATGGGAGGAAACTGGGTGGAAACCCAACGCAGAACAGAGGAGGAGAAACATACAAACTCCACACACAGAGAGGCGCCCATTACCGGGAATTCAACCCAGGCCGTTCTTGCTGTGTAGGCACACGCCGCGTTACACCAGCGCTCCACTCTGCCGCCATCATTTTCTATTTCATTATTTCACTCGATGAGATTTTGTTGTTGTTGTTGTTGTTGTTGGATTGAGCTACTCACCAGGCCGGGACTGTAGTACCCAGGAAGATATTTCTCGCAGATCTGAACAAAGCACCAGAATGCTTGCTGCGGGAAAACACAAAAAAACATCGCCATTCGTATTATCGTCGTCGGCATCATCATCATCACAGAGCCCTCTCTCCCATCGTGCTATTATTATGATTATTATATTAAAATACCACTTGGCAAAGACTGTCACCGTCGTGTCTGCCGCAAAATGATGGTTCGGGTGTTTGTTGTCGTTGTTTGAGTGTTTGTTGTTGTTTGGGTGTTTGTCATTGTTGAGGTGGTTGCTGCTGTTGTTGTTGTTGGGGTGGTCGCCGTTTGTTTGGTTGTTGGTCCGGGTGCGTGTGCTGACCTCGGCGGGCATGTGCATGAGCAGCACAGCAGCAACGGGAGCCTGGGCCTGACAGTAGCCCTCCTCGGGGCAGTACACGGTGTAGGCCTTGAGCACGCGAAACAGGTCCTGCTGCCTGCACTCGTCATCATCATCATCATTGTCGTCATCATCATGGCATCACCATTACTGCATTGGATTCATCATCATCATCATAGTCGCCCACATTTTCATCATCGTTATAATAACGACAATTACTTATTTAACGAGGAAAGCCCCACCGAGTCCGGATACGCTTGATTTTTTAAAATCAGGGTCCTGCAACATTGGGATGTTTGACGAACAACCATGATGGGAGAAAACCAGCAAATCCGAAAGAAACCCATGCAGAACAGGGGGAAAGAACACAAACACAAAACTCTGCGCAGAAAAAAAAAGGGGGCCGAGTCGGGAATGGAACCCAGGTTCCTCTTGCTGGAAAGGCGCGAGTGTTACCACAGCACCACCCATCCCCCCCCCCCCCCCAATTATAATCATTGTAGTCATACAACCGCAAATTTGGTTTTATGAAGCATATAAAAGCTATGCTAGATAAAAAGGCAAGGGCCTCTTTCAACACAATCGTTTTTTAATATCAGGGGCGCTACAGTGGCGAGATGCTACCTACCTCGCCTGGTATACAGGAAGGTCGTGGGTTTGATCCCGACCCTGACGCCTGCTGTATATTTTGAGTTTGCATATTCTCCCCGTGGTTGCGTGGAATTTTCTCTGAGTCCTACGGTGTATCCCTCCACATTTAGAATCAACGTCACGCGTTTAGAGTATTTATTTGCTATAAATTTCCAGCATGATGATAAGCCACTTTCGTTGAGCTATACAGCTCAGTGGGCCTTACCTGGTAAAATCATTTAAAAAATAGTTTACCAGCTCATGGGCCCTCTCTTGAGCATTATCTTGAGATGCGTTTGTATTCAGATACGACACACAGCGGGAATGTCGTTTTCATGTTGCTGTCAGACGACATCTGTTTCACCAGAGAAACCCCTGGGAGACTGGGTTTTCGACTTTTGAGCCTCGTTAGCTGGGGCGGGACGACTGTTCAATTAAAAACAAAATGCCATCGAGCCATCGTCACCACATCACCATGGCCATTGTCACGCGAGGTGGCCGTGGCTCTAACCGTCACCATCATCACCACCACCACCGTCATCTTTGCCCTTCGTCGTCGCAGGAACGTCAGAGAGCCGCACGTAATAATCATCGCCGGCATCGGTCATCGCGACCCAGTGATAGGAGCTGGATATAAGCACACCACTTGGGAGCCAGGGACAGCTGTGCTTATATATGCGAATGAGCGTGCTCGTTTCAGAAGTTGACCTTTTGCCTTCTCCACCCACCAGTGTAATGCAAGCATGTGTTGCTTTTATCAGCACTGTCTCAAGTTAATTTTTGTTGAACCTGCTGAGAACTCGAGAGCAAAAAATATAGTCCTCAAGTGCAAGAGTGTGACTTCGTTGAGCCATCACTTATAAAGAGGTCGCTTCTGAAACGGAACTACGTAGCGCAGTGGGCCTTACCTGGTAATATAATAGAGCTGAACACATTAGCGACGTAACTGGTGTTGGCTAAACATCCTAACGGAGCAGGGGCCCCCTCCTCCTGAAAAATATCCGGGACTCAACGTCACCTCCCCCCATGGGGTAAACAAGGAAGATCACGAACGGCGCCGCCGTAGACCCACAGACGACCGACCGACCATCGCGTCACTCCATCGCACTGGCTGAGCCCACGTCTCGGCAGCGAGCTCGTAATAAACAAATAAATAAACGCGATCGGGCAAACGCCGGCGGCTCACTCGTGAGCGGGGGCGGTGGGGGGGTTCAGTGACCGCGGTGTAAATAGCCGCGTGTGCCGCAGCTCGCTGAAACGGCCGCTTGGTCTGTAATTTTTTTTTTTATCGCCGCCACCTCCGCGCACCGCGGTCGGACTCTTTCACGAGCCGCGCTGTCACAGTCACTCAGGGGGCGGAACTTTCGCGTGTTTTTTTTTACGAGCGGGATTCCACCGCGGGGACCCCATACTCGCGTGGGGCCCTGTGTTTTATTTTTAAGAGGTGACGTTCGCAAAGGTCGTTACTTTGCAGACGAGTTCGTGGGGCCAAGTGCTGTTCGTGCAAGAGGGGCCGCTGTGTGGCGACGAGCAATGCGCCCCAGCCGCTTTCTCTCCCGAGTGCTTGCTCGTGTTTACGCGCTGTGGACGGTAGCTCATGTGAGGCCGAGTCGAACTGGGGATAGGCGCAGAACCGGTTCAGATAACACCATGCCCAACGAGGTTAGCCGTGGCTGGGAATCAAACCCAGGTCGGTGGGTAATTACTGCACCACCGTACGCATACAAAGACAAAGATTTCTCAGGTAGCCTACACAGGCTACTAGGGCGAGTGCTGTTAATGACCAGCACCGCACCTGCCGCACACACACACACACACTGTGCTCACGGGCCCCCTTCGATCCGTGCTGTGGAATCATTGACCACCGGAGTTAATCATCGACGGCGGTGAATGTCCAGCACCAGCAGCGCAAGCGGTAGATCTGGATCGCTCGCGCCACTTCATCTCGTCGACGGAGGAGGACCCCTTTCGCGCGCGGGGGTTCATTGCAGTTCAACTGCGGTGCGACTGGCGCAACACCCCTAGCGCCTCACTGCCGCCAGCGCGTAGACATTTTTATTTACCCACCACGCTGCCCCGTGCCACCCGCTCGCTATTGACATCGGCTGCGAGCAGGTGACATTGGTGGCGAGAAACCGGGGTAAAGCGAAGGCGTCGATGACACCCGCTCACCACGGAGCACTCGTAGGGCATAACGATCGCAACGCAAAGGGCTCGGCATTGCCCCACCTGCGCGCGCCGTCGATCCCCCTTTTTATTTTTGCTCGCGTGCGTTGCCGCTCGTTGGCGCTGCTTTTCACGCTTGCGTCAGACTCACCCGTGACCGCCCCTGGCGGCGAACATCTCGTGGAAGGGGAACTGGCGGTGCAGGTCCTTCTCAATCGTGTCCACCCACTTGGGGTCAGCTTCCTGCTGGTCCAGCTCCTGCGTGGACAGCGGGGGGGGGGGGGGGAAGGTGTTGGGTAGAGGGTAGCGCACGCGTTGGAGAGAGGCGAATGGTTGTTGTGCGTGGGTGTGGCGGGTGGTAGCGTAGCGTTCGATGCATTGCCCTACGAACCTAGCGACCCGCGTTTGATTCCTGGCCGCGGCCAACATCGGCGGTGAATATATGAACTGGTAGTGGGCCTCCCGTACGTCGATCCCAGCCTTCAATTTAGTACTTGGTGCGGTGTATAAACATCGGCACTGGGAAGACAAAGGCGGCCGGGCACGGTGCTGGCGACGTCACCACCTTGTGCACGCGCAGTGCCGCCCTTAACAGGTGCTCGCTAACGGCGCATTCTCCAAGAGTGCGCGAGATCTCGGTCAATGTGCGCGCGTGCGCGCGTGCTCGTGTGTGTGCAACGTACATCAAACTTTCCCTTGTTGAGCGCCAGGCGCGCGCGCCCACCGGAGAGGTACTGCCAGGCCCTCGCACGCAGCGACGGAGGGATCCCCTTGCGACAGCGGAGTTTCACCTGCACGCGAGACAAACGCGTGAGACGCACAGACGGCGACGGGGCGCGCGGTCAAACGCACGTCGTGCACAACGCTCGTCGTGATTCATCGGGGAGGGGTAAGCACCTCCGATTAACAAGGTTGCCAAAGGAGTTCAACATGCAAACATATGCACGCAACACGCGTGTTTGCACTGCAACGCGTTTTCTTGATAAGGCGATTCTGTTTGGGAACACTTTTCACACAACGCGGTACGCGCGTCGACGACGAACTATTTTCTCGAGCTGCTCGGCTGAGCAGTACAGCGGTACAGTACATGGAATGCTCCAGTACGCGACGGAGTTTCCCCCATCTCAGTTCTTTGTCCCGTGCAAATGCGCTTCAGTAAAACAGCGATTCCTCGCTTAACGCGGTGTTTGTCTCCACGAGACACTTTTCACGGACGCATCGACTACTGCCGCGTTCAACGACGGGGGGGTTGCTGCAGAACGTGCCAGGAGAATATTCCGGGCATTCAATCGGAATTCTTGCAGAGCAGTGAACCCCCACCCCCCCCCCCCCCCCCCCCCACGTGCCTTCGAGAGGCGGCCTGCGGAAGGAAGATTTCGCACAACGGCTTCAACGGGCGTGGGGATCTGTGTGCAGCGTGGAGGAGGGCAAGGCGTATCGAGACGAGCATTGGAGTGGCACCCCAGGAGGTCTCTCCACAAGGGCGAATACCTGAGGCCCGATGCCGGGACACTGTAAGGGGAGACGTCGAGGTCGCACGCCGACTTTAGTCTGCGCTAGCTACAGTGAGGGAAAAAAGTATTTGATCCCCTGCTGATTTTGTACGTTTTCCCACTGACAAAGAAATGATGAGTCTATAATTTTAATGGAAGGTTTATTTGAACAGTGAGAGACAGAATTACAACAACAAAATCCAGAAAAACGCATATCAAAAATGTTATAAATTTATTTGCATTTTTATGAGGGAAATAAGTATTTGACCCCCTCTCAATCAGAAAGATTTCTGGCTCCCAGGTGTCTTTTATACAGGTAACGAGCTAAGATTAGGAGCACACTCTTAAAGGGAGTGCTCCTAATCTCAGCTTGTTACCTGTATAAAAGACACCTGCTCACAGAAGCAATCAATCAATCAGATTCCAAACTCTCCACCATGGCCAAGACTAAAGAGCTCTCCAAGGATGTCAGGGACAAGATTGTAGACATACACAAGGCTGGAATGGGCTACAAGACCATCGCCAAGCAGCTTTGTGAGAAGGTGACAACAGTTGGTGCGATTATTCGCAAATGGAAGAAACACAAACGAACTGTCAATCTCCCTCAGCCTGGGGCTCCATGCAAGATCTCACCTCGTGGAGTTGCAATGATCATGAGAACGGTGAGGAATCAGCCCAGAACTACACGGGAGGATCTTGTCAATGATCTAAAGGCAGCTGGGACCATAGTCACCAAGAAAACAGTTGGTAACACACTACACCGTGAAGGACTGAAATCCTGCAGCACCCGCAAGGTCCCCCTGCTCAAGAAAGCACATATACATGCCCGTCTGAAGTTTGCCAATGAACATCTGAATGATTCAGAGGACAACTGGGTGAAAGTGTTGTGGTCAGATGAGACCAAAATGGAGCTCTTTGGCATCAACTCAACTCGCCGTGTTTGTAGAAGGAGGAATGCTGCCTATGACCCCAAGAACACCATCCCCACCGTCAAACATGGAGGTGGAAACATTATGCTTTGGGGGTGATTTTCTTTTAAGGGGACAGGACAACTTGACCACATCAAAGGGACGATGGACGGGGGCCATGTACCGTCAAATCTTGGGTGAGAACCTCCTTCCCTCAGCCAGAGCATTTAAAATGGGTCGTGGATGGGTATTCCAGTATGACAATGACCCAAAACACACGGCCAAGGCGACAAAGGAGTGGCTCAAAAAGAAGCACATTAAGGTCCTGGAGTGGCCTAGCCAGTCTCCAGACCTTAATACCATAGAAAATCTGTGGAGGGAGCTGAAGGTTCCAGTTTCCAAACGTCAGCCTCGAAACCTTAATGACTTGGAGAAGATCTGCAAAGAGGAGTGGGACAAAATCCCTTCTGAGATGTGTGCAAACCTGGTGGCCAACTACAAGAAACGTCTGACATCTGTGATTGCCAACAAGGGTTTTGCCACCAATTACTAAGTCATGTTTTGCAGAGGGGTCAAATACTTTTTTCCCTCAATAAAATGCAAATCAATTTATAACATTTTTGACATGCGTTTTTCTGGATTGTTTTGTTGTTATTCTGTCTCTCGCTGTTCAAATAAACCTACCATTAAAATTATAGACTGATAATTTATTTGTCAGTGGGCAAACGTACAAAATCAGCAGGGGATAAAATACTTTTTTCCCTCACTGTAGGTGCGGTTGACATCGGCGGCATTTTTCCACGACGACCTCTTGACCTTGGCGGGCGGAGATGGATGAGGAGGAGATCACGGGGGGGGGGGGGGGGGGTGGGCCTGCCTCCTGGCTGCAGCAAACTGACAGCGGTTGTTGAGAGCGAGGAATGGGAAAGTGTGCTCGGGAGGGAGGGATGTAGGGTCGCGTGCCAGTTGACGTCGCAGCCTCGTCGCCGCCGCTGCTGCTGCGGCTGCTGCTCCACGCCGTTTGGGGCGCGTGCCGCCCTCCCGCGCCCGCCCGCCCACCAGCCGACATCGAATTTCACGAGGATATCTCGTGGCGCGGAAATGTCGGACGGAACCGGCTCGCGCAGACAGGGTTCGGGTCGATGGTGAAGGCGCAAGTTCGATCATCGGGCTCTCGTTCTCTCGTCTCTCCGATCTGTCGGCATTTCTGCCGGGAACGGAGCACAGTGAGAATTCCCCGGGACTTCGCCAGGCGATCGTGGGGGGCAGCGGGGTGGGGGGGGGACCGGGCTGGCCGGGCAGCTGGGAGAGCCCTGTTGACGGGATTAACGGAGGCAGGTGTTTCCCATAAGCTTCGCGCCCGGTTCGCGTTACCGTTAAGCTGCAACATGTGCTGGGAACAACGCGAGGATGCGAGTCGGGGCTCTTCTCCTCCTTCTGAGCGCGTGTGGCCAGGATCTTTTTCTGCTGCTAACAAGCGGCCTCTGTCTGCCCGGCACGCCGTCCTACCCACCCCCTTCCCCCTTAGGCCCCGATACGCGAGCACAATATTGGGACAACCATCAGCGGAAATGGTTGGCGTGCCGCGTAATTTTGTTGCCTCGACGGAACTCCTCGGTTCAAGTGTCCAGAGTCGCTCCGCGCAGATGCATCGCTCGTGTGTGCACAACCGTCCCAAAATTGCCCCGTTGTGCAATCATAACCTTGAGGCACGTGCCTCACAGCTTCGTAAACCGAGACACGAGGCTGACCTCTGTCACCTTCCACCACGTGTTTAATGGTCGAGCAGAGGTGTGGTTTTGATTTTATTTAAATTAATAAGTTCCTTCCAGCAGTGCTGCGAGCCGTCCTGAAAAAGGATTTATTGTTTTGCGCATTCCTGAAACGCTCGCTCGGCGCTCGCTCGCAGACTGTGAGCACGTTGCCATCAATTCCATCGGAGCACCAGGCCCCCCTTTCTTCAGGACCAGAGGTTTTTGCCGGATCAGTGGTTCGGTATCCAGGCACATCCGAGCCGAGGCAACGTGGAGCCCACACGGCACAGGTGGTTTTCCCCCCACCGGCCATTAGTCCAGCCGAGCCACGAAGAAGTCGCGACACGGAACCAAACAGGGCCGGGGCTGAGGTTGATCATTCTCGTCCTTGCGTGCGACGTCAGTTGACACGCGTCTCAACTCGTTCGTTGCGTGCGTATGTCAAGTGGTGAAAAAACCCAACGCCGGCGACTCCCGAGCCTCGCCGGGGCCGGCTCGTGCGCGGCCTCAGCGTCGCGTGAGAGGCGCCCCGTTCCCCCGTGGCCTAAAGCGCCCCGGTATCGGACCGTGACGTACGTAAACATTTTTTTTATAATCCAGTCGCCCGTACAGTGGCAGGGGGGGGGGGCCGCGCGGTTCTTTTGCCGTTGGGTTATCCCGTCCGGCAGGTCTGGTGGCACCTTCGTGATGTCACGGCGGCGCTCAGAAAAAGAAAAAAAGAGGAAAAGAATATAAACCCACAAGTCAGACGCCCGGCTACGCCTGCACGCGAAACGTCCCGAGTGCGACGAAGACGTTTCTCTCGTAAACGTGAAGCGCGAGGGGCGACTTTACTGGACGTGTCGTACGAAGCACGCGACGCCAGGGCGGCAGAGAGCAGGGGGTGTCAGCATGCTGCACCTCTGTGCTTTGTTTGTGCCTTTGTTGTACTCATTCTTTCCTACCTATGGCAATTTGCAGCTGATATTGTTCATCTGGGTTTTTTTTCACCTACCCCCATACCCCCCCCCCCCCCCCCCGATTAAATTTGCCCGATCAAGGTCACGTCACGTCACAGGATGAAGACGTTTCCATGCGCAGCTCTCGCAGCTTGCCGCACCCACCACCACCAACACCTTTGTGTCGGAAGAAATAGCCCTCCTGAAGACGACGTCACAGAACAACTCGCGACACTCGCATCAACAGCGGCGACTTCATCCACACTCTTGCGGCAACACCTGACAGCGCCCTGTAAAGAATGTAACTGTCATGTGCACGCGAAATGTTTTTCATTCTTAGGGCTGGCAATTAATCACTGCATGTAACTGAGACTGAAGCCTCCCTAATGCACACGTTGTTGGCCAGGGCTTGAAGACCGGCAAAACCAACTCTCCGCCTACACGTGAGAACCCGTTTTTTTTTCATCACGGACGGTTAAAACCAAAATGTTTTAAATCCGGGATCTCCGCGGGCGTTGGCTCGGTGTCTCTGGGCACGGTCATGGCAACCTCGGCCACACCTCCTTTTTGTCCGTGTTCCTCTGCCAGTGCGCGCGCACGCCACGGCGGCGTGAGATGTAACCGGGAAAAATATTCTGTCAAAATGTCGCAGCCGCAGCGGTGGGGTTTCGCATGGCCCCCGTCGTTTTTTTAAGCGTGGGAGTGCACATTTTCCAGCGGAATATTTTTGAACCACGGGCTCCGCCGTGCCATGGATATCTGTGGCCGCACGTGCCGGAGGGCGGGTGGGCGGGTGGCGGGTTGAGGGGGGGGGTGGCACCCGCGGTGGAATGTTTCGGTGCAACGAGCGACCCATGTCAGCCGTCACAGGAACGCCCAGGACCAAACGTCGGGAAAGTAAATTAACCACAAAATAAAGTTCCTTAGCAGCACTCGCATTCTTTACGAGCTTATTACGATGCAACTTGGTTTCATATGGCTTCTAAAATGTGTCCGAGCCGAGACCATCCACCGACTATACACCCGGTTGCAGGGTTTGCTTGCTTAAACAAATGCCGCTGGATAGTATTGGTCTGGAAAAGCCAACAGACCGAGGGACTAAAACAAATGTATTGTTTACATGCGGAGGCACAGAATGGATTTCTACTTGTATGTGTGCTTAACTATACACCGGCAGTCCTGGATTGTTACTGTGACCAAATCGCTCTGAATCCACCCGATCTTGTGAATCTCAGATGTGAAGCAAGCTCGGGCCTGGTTAGTTACTTGGACGAGGGATACCAGCTGTTGTGGGCTTGGACTGCGAGGTGGTGACGAGATGGGCGGCACAACAATGGATTCTTGAATCTATCTGTGTGGAACATCGAGTGTTGCCACACCCCACCCCATCCCCAACTTCCTTGTACACAAAGTGGGTTTTCTCTCCAGCTCCTGCAGTTTCCTCTAATAATATAAAGCCAAATAGTCGTGAATTGGATCTGGCTAAAACATCCCAATGTAGCAGAAACCCCACTCTGAAAAAGTATAATAATGATGATAACAATAATTATTTACCCACGCGTCATGCCCATCCCGGGAGCCGTTTGGCCATACTTCCCCACGCTGGTCGGTGCAAGATGATGAAGGGGAGTGGTGGGTTGGAGGAGGAGGTGGGGGGTTTGTGGGGCGGTTGTTGGGAGGGATTCGGGATGGTCAGACGGATTCTGGTATCACTCGCCGCCGATGTTAGCCGTGGCTAGAAATTGACCTCGGGTCGCGCTGGGTCACAGCGCAGTGCGCCAACTGGTGCCCCGCAGCTCCCCTCGGGGTAAATAAAAGGCATCGTTATCACCAACACAGCTCGACTCTCTCTCTCTCTGCTGAAACGCTGCCAGGTCCTGAGACTTCCTCCCGGACCGACCGACCTTGTGAACAACAAACAAACAAGCGGAGCTGTCGCCCCTCCGAGTGTATTTCCTCGGGCCTCTAAAAGAGACAATGCCCTATTTGAGGTCAGGTATGTGAGCTCGCGGTGTATGTGAACACGCGCACTGTATATGCACGCGCGCACGAGCACCTACACGCAGCCTCACAGCCGCTGGTCTCATCTGTTTTCCCGCGAGTTACTTTCTTTCCCGGTGCTCACCCGACCGGTTTCACTTCTTCGTGACCCCCCCCCACCCCCCGGGCCTTCCCACTCGGCCCACTCGCCCCAAACGTCCACCCCTTCAAAAATCAAGGTCCACGACCCTCAAACTTAAAGGTCACGTAGCCAAGGTGACCCAGAGCATCCTGCCGTGGCCGGGACAGTCCCAGCTGTATTCCGGCTGACGGACGGAGGGACTACACGGTCAAGATGTGTCCCGGTTGAGCCTCCCAGGAATTTGGTAGCGTTCTTTTAGATGTCGTCTTAAAACTGGCCCTCACGTTAAAGCCCTCACGCTAATTCTAGCCCTAGCTCTAACCGCAAACCTATCCCTTATCCTCACTCTAACCCAAGCATGATATTGGGATCTAAACCTTAACCATAACCAACCCAAACCAATAAAGTCAACCCCAACGTTCAGGTCTAGCCTTAGCGCGAAACCTAAAAACCTATCCCCTTGTCCCAACTCTAGCCGTAATGGTAGCTTAAACCCAACCATAACTATAACCCAAGCCTCTTAACAGGTAAAACGAACTTCAACCTAAACACGAACTGTCCCCTTAACCATAAACAAAACCAGAGGGCCGTTGAGAAGGTGGTGGGGGGGGCGGGGAGGTGGGGGGAGCAGTTTTCAGGTGGGCACTTGAGGAGGAGGAGAAGGCTTTGTCCGGCATTTTGCCCCGGGCCTCCAAAAACCTTTTTGGTGGCCCAGCCAAACTGTAACCCAAGTGTCTAAAACAGCCAACTCGACCCCGAACACTAACCGTAACTTAAACCTTAACCTGTAAACCTTTAACCCCAATCTGAACTTTAACCCTAACCCCCACGCCAAACGCGAACCCAGCCGCCCGGCCTCTCTGCTCACTCACCTTCTGGTATCGCTTGGGCATCCACCTGTCCCAGTGCTGCAGCATCTCCAGCCACTTCATCTCGCGCTGGCGAGCCACGTCCATCGGCAGCGCCGTCTCCCTGCGCCACCGAAGACAAAGATCCCCCATATAGACATGCAAAGCTGTTGGGGCAAGTGCGGCTAACGAGCGTCACCTGTGAAGGCCGACACGACGCACGAGGTCGCGGGTGGCCAGCGCCACGACCCGGGACGTCTTTGTCTCGCCAGTGCTGTGCGTACGTATGCTGTTGAACCCCTTTCGCGCCGTACGTAAGTGCAGGGGAAGGATAACAAACTAAACACAAAAATTTGTTCTAAAGGAATGAGTTTTCGATCCAGATGTTTGTACACACACGACACCAGCTACAACAGGGGTCGGCAACCTGAAGCTCTGGACTGCTTTCAGACGTAAGGTACACACGCGTGTACGTACGTATACAAGCATGCATTGGCGGCTCTTGAAATGTGGAGTTTTTCACCGAATCCGAAAAAAAAATGGCTCTTCTTGTTATTTCGGTCGCCGACCCCCTCTTCAGCTACTCATTCAAGGCTGAGCGTACCGAGGAGAGGAGGCCCACAACTGGCTCAAATACTCCGCACTGCTATTGGCCGTGAGCGGGAACCGAACTCGGGTCACCGGGTTACAAGCACAGTGCACTGACCTCTGCACTACAGCTAACGCGCGTGAGTGAGCACCGCAAACACACGGGCGAGAGGGGCGAGCGAGCGAGCGAGCGGGCACAGACGCACACGTGACCACAAACCACGCTCGGACCCAAGGTGAAGCTAAACTTTCGGGTAGTTACACAAATGTGGCGAGCCGAGTGAAACATTTTGAAATCCTCAAAAATAATACTTCAAAGGTAATTACCACGTAGCTTTAAATAGCATGGATTATATGTGGAGCAAGTCACCGGTTGCACACGTTAGTGCAACTGAATACATCATCGTCATCCCAGAGTGGATTTTTAAAAAAAGTACGTTTGTCCAGGTACGTGCGACACCACTGGGATTATTTCATTAACCAAGGTTGAGCTCGTGTCTCTAAGTTCAAAGTGCAGTGCACCATCCCCTGTGCCACCCCACGCGCACACACACACAATGACACAAACACCAAGATCCCCCGTGTAGCCTTAACATACTGTAGGGGCAAGTGTTGTTAGCGAGCACCTATGAAGACGGGCACGGCACACGAGGGGGTGGGTGGCCAACACCACACCCGACCGCCTTTATCTCCCCAGTGGCGATGTTTACACATCACACCAGGTACTCATTTGAGGCTGAGTAGACCTAGGGGAGGCCCGGGATTGGTTCAGATAATCGTCACTAGTGTTGGCCATGAGCGGGAATCGAACCCGGGTCGCCAGGTTCATAGCACAGCGCGCTAACCACTACACCACCGCTCCAAACACATAGATCCACACACACATAGGCATGCACTCAATGACACACGCAGAGAGTGACACGCGTAAGACAAATATCGGCGTGTCAACACGCTTCATGCAGCAGCAGCAACGTTCAAGTGCCAGGTGAACGAACACACGTTACGAAGCTCGCCGGGACGTGTGCACACACGCACGCACAAGTGCTTGGTGCGCAAGCATAAACAACAACAACAAAATATACAAGAGTCGTCGTTTCGGGCATTGGCACCTCTTGGCGACACTACATCGGCCATATCGATGCAAGGTCTCTCCAAAATCCCCCACAGCCTCCCGTGATTGAGGCCGCTGCACTAACAATCGTATGAAAATAAAAACATCTCTATTGAGCACACTTCACCACGCCGGTCCAGCAGGCGTGTAATGAATACGAGCGTTGGGCGACTTCTGACCGCCCCGTGGGTGACTTCTGCGAACGAGCGCCCTGGGTTTTCAAAGCAGAGAAAACGATTGGAGAACCTCAGGTACCGAGGGTCATCGAGAATGACGATTTCATCGTCATCTGAAAAAATAAGAATAGGCTTTAACCCCGTTCTGGCAATAAAACAAGGTGGTGTCAAGATGTTCAAACACCAAATAGAAACCTTTTGCGAGGAATCAAGTCCTGCATTAACCACACACGGTACTTGTGGTAACCATGCCAACAAACATGCTCTGATAACAAAATATATGTAATATTTGCAATGTCTTTTCAAATGATTGGCCTACACCAGAGACAGCCTTCATTAAAGGCCCGGTCTCACCACCAGTGTCAGACCAGAGAAACACCGAAAGGCGAACGGTACATTTAATTGTTGTTTAAAATCGATTTTAATTTTTAACGCTATTGAAATCGCGTCGAACGTGAGAGTCACAATGGAGTATTTGCTATTCATGTAAATCCTGTGCTAAGTGGTACGTACGTACGTTGAACTTCTTTCGCGCTGTACATTGCCAACCGTGCTAATCGGAGGTGCGGAGTAACAACAACTGAAAATGAAAAACAGTTCTAAAGAAATTAGTTTACAGTCGAGATTTAAAAGTGCATAACTCCGGTGGCATCTTAACATCGCAAGGAAGAGCGTTCTAGACGGCTACAAAAGCGCATCTGAAAGCGCGCGATGCAGCAAACGTCTTTGTTCGATGGCCAGCCAAAGACCGCTGTGAGGATGACCGAAGTTCGCGTGATGGTTTTATGCTCCTTGACTAGATCAGTAAGGTATTGCGGTTCATTTGTGGCAAGCACTTTGTGTGCAATGAGTACGACCTTAGAATGTATTAGTTCGGTACGGAATAGGTTACGGCAACAAGCAGAATTGGGGCCAATTGAAACAGAAAAAAAGGAAACTAGAAAATGCAAACGCATGGATTAATATCAGGCTCGATCTGAGCATTCGCTTGTCCTCAGAAATATAAAATTTGCAGAATTAAAACCAAACGGGTAACTGTCACGGAAAATAAATTGTTCACAGATGTGCAAACGTAAGATCTTTGCGCCGGTCCTTGGAAACACTTTGATCAACCAATCAATAGGATGTGCGTCCCTCCCGGCGACTTGACTTTCCACTCACGTTTTATTCGTTTGGGACCAACTTTACAACAGTTATCGTGCCACCCCCCCCCCCCCCTCGTGTTACAGACAGACGGAGAGACAAACGGACACAGCTGCGGTGGCTAGATGTTAACTACCTCGCCTGGTATACAGGAAATCGTGGGTTCGATACCGAACCTGACGCCTGCTGCTTTATATATTGAGTTTGCATGTTCGCCCCGTGTCCGTCTGTATTTTTCTCCGGGTCCTCCGGTTTTCATTCCCCACATTTAGAATCAACGTGCGTTTAGAGTATTTGGCTGATATACATTTCCACATAATACTGGTAGGAACCTCCTTGTTACACCAGCCCACAGGGGATTATTGTGTCCGTCCGTCGTGCAGGGAGGGGCTGTGTGGGGAAAGAGGGGCTGGGTGGGGAGGGGAGGGTGAGGAGGGGCTGGGTGGGGAGGGTGGGACTGGGTGGGGGGTGGGAGGGGTGGGACTGGGTGGGGAGGGGCTGGTCACCCCGTGGTGCCCATATAAAACTCAACGTTGAACCTACTCACGTCGGCTTGTGCCCGCCCTCACAGTCGGGCATATTTGTGGAATACACCACGCCGCCGTCGACCCTGGCCATTGACCGAGCAACCCAACGTTCCTACCAGCTCCCTCCGCAGGAATGTGTTTTGCTATTTCATTGAGCTATAATTTGTGGCCATGTCGCTTCTGAAAAAGAGCTATACAGCTAAAGTGGGCCTTAACTGGTAAAATAAAATAGTTTAGTTTAACGAATGCATTCATGGTTACATCCGTAATTGAGAAGCATTTAAAACATGCGGCAAGAATGGAGACGAGATATAATCGGTTCTCGAATCGAATCTCGTTGCCGAATCGTGCGATCGTTCATCCACAGAATCGCCGTGGGCCATGAAGCAACACATGACGTGACAGATAAGAGCCGTTCCGAGTAAAACCACGTCGACAGTTTAACTGCAGCGCAGAGAAAGCATGCGGAGGGCACTTTCTTTTAAAAAAAAAATGTTTTTTGTTTTTTTTACAAAGTGAGTGCCATTCAGAAACCCACTTCAAGGCGGTAAAAACACATTTTATTCTACCGATATTGATTACGGCCGATGTTGACGGCGATCAACGACAATAACCCGTCGTTTATTGATTCAGGAACGACTTGAGACTCTTTCTGTAGGATGGTCCTGTTGCTCGTGACGTTGGCCGAAGTGTCTCTCCGTGTCCTGAGAATTAGGTAAATAATTAGATTTCCACGCGAAATGTGTTATCTCCACGTCAAAATAAAGTATTTTTTTGCGCATCAGTCTTCCAAGCTGATATTAATTAGCAGAATTTTTTTTAACAAATAAACTCCGGAACAGTTTCAATTGTCTGGGTCTTATCAGCAGAGTCGAGTTTGTTTAAAAAAAAAAAAAAACTGATGTTGCATTTACCAGATGTTATTGGGGTGAGCATTCCCTTTCAACTACAGTGCTATTGTGTGCCATGTGGGATTGTGATGGCACAGAGATGCCTTCATCCAGCAGTGGATAGAAAAATGTTGTTGATGTTGATATTGCGCAGTTTCTTTAGTGATCCAGGTATCCCCTGAAAAAAAAACTTTAAGTCTAAAAGGGCTCTCACCAAGTTTAAATAAAGCACCGGTCTGCTTGACGTCACGTAAAGACAAAAAATTACAGCCCCTATGTCAATCCACCGTTGGATGATGGCCTCTCCACGCTACGTCGTGTCGTGGCCGTTGTTTGACCATACTTCACCGGCGCTGGTCAAGATGCATACAGTGGAGGGCCCAAGGAGGGCCCAACACTCATGATGCTCGGGCGTTGCACTACAGAAGCTTGAACGTCAAAGGCACCGTGCGTTCAAACTCCGTGCTGTCTTCCGCATCTGCACCGTCCTGACCCAAGCCCTCGTGTTTATACAACTCTGGCAGGGCCCGGTCGGATGGGCACAGGTTGGGTGGGTGGGCTCAGCCACTTCTGCTGTTGCGACGGCTCACGTTGCTATCTATTTAAGGAAGAAGGGGAAAAAAAAGACATTGAGACAAAAACCAGAGAACCTGTTTCTCCGGCATCTGACAGCGGCATTGGCAACGGCG